ATGTGTCCATGAATGTGTTCGAGTGCTCACCTGACTTTGTACCCCAGGGTTTAGGGCTCACTTAAGGAGGCCTCCTTTCTCTGCAGCACTGTTATGTTACCCTGGAGAAGAATAAGTAAAGGAGATAGGCTATGTTAGGATGTGATACTTACTTACAAACACACTACAGGCAGCCCTGCCCCTCCCTGATTTAAAAATATAATTCAGTAATGATAATTAAAAAATAAACATTTGCTTCATTGGCTAACATTTCCCGAGTAACAGCCATGTCCAAATTAACTTTCATGTGGGCTTTGTCGAAACGTGAGGCCTCAACTATACAAATTGAAGGTATTAGTTAAAATGAGTGGCAGTCATATATTTTAATCGGTTACTTTCTAGTCCTAGGTCATCGCTGATGTTGCTTGGGGCTTCCTTAAGTCAACACTGAGGAGATAACTAACCACATCACTTATCAAATCAATTCAACAAGCGGTAGTAGCAGTGCTGAGTTGTAAATTGTAAACGACTGCCATCTAGTGGTAAACTGTACGAACTACACACCATAAATAACTCCATTCAAACAAAACAAACTTTTGTATTTATGTACACGCAGAAAAACAACCCACCCTATAACTAAACAGTTAGGTTAAATACATTGAAACATGTAAAGGCTTAGCAGTGTTAGGTCAGCTCTGGGCTTACATTCGTGACGGAACAGTGTTAACTTCATGACCAAGAGGTAGAAAATGAATTTAAAAAAGGTAAGCAGCAATTATTTAGCAATTCAGAGACGATGTAAACTTTCACACTGGGGTAAAACAGGCACCTTAATACCAGTAACATCTTTTTTTTGTACTTGTATGGAAATGCACCGGTTGTTCTAACGTAGGCAGGTATGCTATGTACCTTGAAGTGGTTTGGAAGAAACCCCAGCTTTTCCAGTTAGAAAGCACTGGCAAGTTGACTGAGTAGATCTGTGGATGTATTTTAGGAGTGTTCCATTTATCTCGGAACTAGACTCTCTGAGCTGGGAATGACGTCACACCCGAGTTAACCGCGTTCCAACATGAAGGCCTCCAGTCGTAGTCCACCTTTGTGTTATTACCTAACATCAGGTGATGAAAACACACTATGCGATAGTTTGCGCGCAAAAATAACATGTCCACGGATATAATTGCACCATACTATAAGTGCAATTGATTTACTTAGGCTACACATGGAGGACCAAGTTGCTATTAAACACAGCTTAAAGGTTACTGTTGATGCACTGTAATGCACGTAGCAGGTGCATGAACGTTCAAGTTGACTGCAACTTGGAAGTTCCGACTTCCGAGATCAAATGGTTTTGTGGCTTGGGAGGAGGAGGATGTGGTGGAGGTGGAGAAGGACGTAAAAAAAAAAAAAAGACAGGTAGGAGGAACCTTCAGAAGGTTTGAGTAAATTTAGCTGGTCTGGTTTCATGCTCGACTATGTGCATCTGTGTTTACTTTCTGGTTTTATTGGTCGTTGGTGATAAGATAGCCTATAGACTACTAGGCATATAGGATCTTTAAAAAAAAACTACACAACAGAATCGATGATCCACCTGTCTACCCTGAGTTCAAATAATGACCTATGATCTTTCATCTAATAACTAACACAAACAAATATCATCGGTAGGCCTATAATTGAACTGAAAAGAAAGAAGAATACAAAAGAAAAACTAAAAAACTAAATTGTAACTGTCTCATGACCAAACAGGGTTTACTTCGTGTAGGCTACCAACCAGGTATCAACAGCTAGATCACGTGACCAGTCTTTTGGATATAGGCTACTTTAAATAATTAACCTTTATGTGCCTTTAACTTTGTGTTTGATTATATTCTTAATAAAAGTAGAAAGATTAATTTCCAAAACCCAGATGCATTATTCAAATAGGCTATTAATGACCTAACTTATTTATTATCAAACATTTTCATTATTAGTGCACAGATGAGAAAATCAGTCTTAAGAAGCATGACCTCTGATAGCTTCCTGTTGTTTCTCAAGTCGAGCTGATCATCAAATTACTCTCTCTACTTTTTTTTCTAGTAGTTAAATACTGACAGCCAGACAAAAAGAAGAAGCGGTGCATTGGGTGTGGTGTCAGTGCGGTGGGTTGTGATGAGTTATATCAAGGCTGCAGAATTATGAAATTAAGTATTACGAATCCCCCATTTTACTACTCTTTTTAGGTATACAAAGCTTCCTTGCATTAAACATTTATTATGTGTTATCAAAGTAATAAGAATTATTTGATCATATCAAAAGGAATTTAGCTTTTCTACCAATGTTGGCTTGTGCAAAATAACCAAAACATTGTTCTCTTGCATGCCTTATGTGTGGGCTGGCAAAAAACAAGAAATGTTGAATTCAGAGGCACAACAAAAATAATAAAAAAAAGTTTGAATAAGTAAATTCATCAGTTCATGCCACATTATATTCCGAAGTGCAAATATCTGTCAACAGGGCATAAATCAGCCGATACAGATGTTAAACATGTCGAGGTGCATCCTAACTATTTAGTCAATAATTCCATTGTTGTTGTTTGTGCTTTTGAATATGCAGTCACTGTCAGGTATGTTTATGTATGTTTTTGAGTGGAATCTGGAATTTGTGTGGGGGAAGAATAAAACAGATCTACCACTGCAAGAGGAATAAAAGGTCAAACCTAAAGCAGACACACCAGAAGTCTGTCAGACAGGACAAAAGGTCACGTTTAAAGAAGGCTAAGTTTCATTTTAGTGCTTTTCATCATTGTTTTTTTTTAAAAAAAATTCATGTTTTACACGGGTTTCTCACTGTTGCCTGTATCACTGAAGTCTTCACATTTCATCATAGCATGTGTCATTCTACGTATACTTTATATTGTTATACAATGTATATTTTCTATTTTAAACAAGGCTTACAATATATATAGAAACTGTGAGAATTAAGCAGATATAAGTTGTTTAAATTATTGAATTAAACATCTATATAAAGGTTAATAGGTATTTAAATGTTCCTTTCATCTTTGTCTCCACTCAGACAGTTATTATAACTTACTGTAATTTGTGATTATTAAAGTAGTTTTTATTTCGCCTTTCAAACCCTTATTTCCTGAACTTAGCCACTATCTGTTATTTTTTACATCACATATTTACATTACAGTTTTTACAATGTTGTGTACTTTTTATTATTCTTTTAAACAAAGCAATCCAGGTGGATGGCAGTTCCTGAGGTTCAATCATTTATTTGAAACAGAAAACTATACTTTAAAATGATAAGTGGCAAGGTCGAAAAATGTAACAATTACATTTTTAAATGCATCTATTGTTTATCAGAGCTGTGATGGATTATAGAATTCCCTGGCAGACCACTGTGAATTATAATAATTTTTGTGAAGTGTTGTAATGACAGGGTTTCTTGTCTCCAGAGTTCATACAAACAGGCATGAATGTACTACAAAAAAAGCGGTTATTAGTACGAATTTTCATGAATTCATTCATCTTGGTAATTGTGTGGATAAACCATTTCAATTTGTCAACCATAGGGTAATTCTTCTTTTAAGGTCTGTGTAGCTGTAATACGTATGTGTTAGACATTTATAGCAGCAGATTTATATTTGAATAGGAGCTAAGTGTTGTGAGCTGAAAAGGAAATGTGATTTACTGAGGTTGAAGAACTGTATATGTCTGACATTTACAAGATAATGTAATGTCTTCTTTCAAGCCTATTAGAAGTATAAATAGAATATAATTTGAAAGGGTTACCTGCTAACAGAATATAAGATAGACTGTTGACATGAAAAGTTGGTCAGCCTCGTGTGATCTGAAATGTTGTCTGACCTCGGCCAAATAAATTCTAAAATAATCCACAGTCAGTTTCATGATTTCCTCATTTGAACATTTACAACAGAAACACCCCCACCTAACAGTTAACTAAACATACAATGCAGATTATAGGCAGCTACCCAGATCTTAAATTTGAATTTGATTTCTTTACTAACTATTCTGCAGTTTTTTTTCACAGCAGTAGTAAGCAGTAACGTCCCTCCTTTATTAATGTGGAATTGAATTTTTTTTATTTTTGGAAATAAATAGTCAAATATCTATATATAAGTGCCCAGGCTACTTGAGTTTTCTATTTTCACACAAGAGAAACTCATGAAACTCACGGGCACTCTTGATGTTTTTTGAGTGAAAAAGAAGCATATTCAAAGGAGAGAACAACACTTTTACAATAAACGTAACTTTATTGACAGTAAAAAGTTTTGTAGAATATCGGGGGGCACGCATTGATAACTGCAAGAACATCTTGGAAAGCAACATGACTTTTTTGAAATACAGTAATGAGGCAGTTTAACATCTTTAACTTTGAGGTAAAGTGTTTTGTCATGTTACGTCATTCACAAAATATCATTGAAACATTGAAAAGTCCACGCAAGGAGACAAAAACCCATGCCTCATTTCCACTTGTTTAAATTACTTCACATTTCAAAAAAATAATTCACAATTCAGGGAAAAGCAGAAAACGACGAGCACACATGCTATATTCCATTCACACACACACACACACACACACACACACACACACACACACACACACATCTTTACTTATCAAACCAAGTGCATTTTTTAAATAGCTTTGCTCGAAACAGTTCAAGTATATTTTTTGCCTGCAATGAAAGGAAATGAATTTAAAGTGTGAAGCAGCAAACCCACAATAACAAGTAAGAATACTGAGTTTGGTCTCATTCGCGTTTTCAATATTAACATGATCAGATAACTCAACGTACTGTAGCAATAAGGTTTTTGGGTGCTATAAAGAAGCAGGAGGTAACATTTCATGGACTCGAGGAATATGCTGGAAAAGATTTGGAATATAGCTGATTAAATACACCAAAGGCTGAAACAAACAACACTAAATAGATAATCACAAGGGATAATTGAACCGATCTAAACTGAGTCATTTTTAAATCATTATTTTTGTTAGTTCACTTACAATATGCTGATTTTTTCTTTTTTAATCTCAGCTTTGTCTGCTGAGTGCAAAATCACAAATAAATACACAGAAAAATATATTTTAGTCAAACACTGAAGCACTTTTGAGTGAAGACTGCAGGACCAGTGCAATGTTGTGTTTAACAGAAGGCCGGCTCCGTTAACATTACACTGGTGTTGCAAATCAAAAGATCAACTACTGTGAGTTTTTGTGCGATTTATCAGTGCAGTAGAACAATTACAGAAAAAGAAAAGTAAAGCCATTAAGTGCTTATGCGAAGGTGTTCATGTAAAAGCAGGTAACCTAAAAAGTGAAATCCCGAATAGGTAAAGCACCCAGGGCAAATAAGATGAGCTCTTTCTGTACACTACATAGCTCATGGTCTGTTCTGCACCAGTTCTCTAAGGCTCGCTTTAAAAATCCAAAACTTTCAACCTTAACCAATTCAGGTGAATATTTTCAAGTGTCTTCCCTTCCAAATGTTGTCAAGTCCTCTCTCACTGTGCAGCTGCAAATATTTTATCTTCACACACGGCTCCACCAGGCTGTAAACAATGTTTTCCTACAACAGTGTGCTACTGTAGGAGTTAAGGCAATCCATTTCTGTGCTCGTCTGTGACAAAAGCTCCTCCTGAACCCAGAGGCACAAATCTCTCAGTGCATATTAATCTTACCTGACTGACACACCACACAAAATACCCTCTTCAATCGCAAAAAACAAAAACAAAGCTCTCAGTGCATACCATATCATTCTTCACATGTGCAGCCGATGCTTTTCTCAACTGCCTGTGCCATATGACTTCTCACAAGTGATAACTATATCACTTAGCAAAAGATGGCTAGTTAAGATTTTGAAGCACCAGTCTCCCTCCAGTTTTTTTTTTTTAAAGTTAAGAGGAAATCCCCAAAGAAGGCACTTTCGAAGCAAAACAAGTCGTTTTGCTGGATGATTAGATAAGGGAGTGCAATCGATCATAGAATGTAATTTGTCTCATCTTAATTTGAAATGTTGCAGTGAAAAGGTCATCTGCTTTAGTTGAATACATATTCTTAAAATAAACCACTTGTACTTACATTGTGGATTCAAAGCTACTGATCTGGTGCAGAACAAACATGAACCGGAGCAGCAGTCACCCCTCCCCACCTCCACCAGCCCTGATCTCAGACCCTTCTCCTCAGCCCACCTGATGCTCCCCACGGCTGATGTGTGATGAGAACTCGTAGCGGTCCTGGCTGCGGTGGCCGCAGATGTTGCACTCAAACGGTTGGCGAAAGCCGTGGCAGCCCATGTGGATGGTGAACATGACGTGGTCCAGGAAGAGGATGCGACAGTAATGGCAGTGGAAGGAGCGCACAGGCCGGCCATCCCTGTCTAACACCTGCACAGTCTCCCTGGAAGAGAGGTGGGACCCAGAGCCCCTCTTTCCCATGGCGGTGGGCACAGGACGCGCTCTCTCCCAATCAGTATCCAAGTCTTTGGCCTTGCTGGGGCTTGAGTTGGGATGGCTGCGGGGCAGTGCTGGGGTTTGGTAGTGGAGGTGGTGGTTGTTGGAGGTACTTGTCGGGGCAGTTGCCCTTGTGCTCTGCTCTTCTGCTGTGCTCTCTGTGTCTGTAGAGTCAGGGCAGCCGTTGGGAGAGGTGGTATGGCTGTGGGCTGAGGGTTGATTGCCGCGCCCTTCACCAGCAACCTCAAAAGGCATCACTGCTGCTGGCCCACCTCCACCATGGGCTCGGGAGCCATGAAGAGCCACGTTGCTGTTGATGGAGCCCGTGACTGTGCGATACTCAGACAGGAAAGCGGGATGGAGGTGTGACAGTGCAGGCGGGTCACTGGTCTCCCCTTTAACTCTGCTGCCTTGGAGATGTGAGCCAGCCAGCTCTGAGGGGTCTCCAGCAGACTGAGAGCTCATGAGGTCGCCTTCCTTCTCAGAGCCAGACGACAACTCATAAGGTGCTTCAGGTAGGTCAAGGTGCATTTGCTTTTCACCTATTAAAAGAATATATCACATATAAATAATAATAATGAAAAATAATTTGACTTTATTTGTTAAACCAATCCATTTTCATGGAGCATTTGTCTCCAAATCTAACTTCATGTTTTGTTGACTTTCAGTATTAGAACACATGTTTGACAAAGGTTTGATGATTAAATGAAAATAATTTGAAAAAGAAAATATTTGACATAGAGTTGTGAAATATATGAATATGCGCACCTTGTATCAATAACATGACTTGTCTTATGAAATTAAACTCACCCAAAAACTTCTGTGGTGTTGACCTCTTGCGTTTGGTGATGCTAACAGCCAGTCGGTCCACAAACTGGATTTTGTCATTGGAAGGCTTGAGGACAGGTTTAGCTTCCATTTTCACTGACTCTTCACCTGCAAACAGACATCACCTTGACTTGCACATTATGTGTTCAAATATGTTAAATTGCTTTATTTAGTTTATTCTTAAAGCTCCTGTGAGGAACATTTGGTTAATGCCACTTTTGGCATCCTCTGTGGACAAAGTGTACGTCTTATCTCTTCACTGATCTCTTCCAGTAAGTAGGACTTGTGACAAAAAAAATCAAATTTCTCTTCGTTTTGAAGTGCAACTCACAATGAACCGTTAAAATAATTTTTTTAAAAAGGCTGTTTCGGCAGCGTACTGATTATCTCCTCCTCGGACACCTACCCCCGGCAGCTTCTTCAGTCATTAAAAATAACTGTATACAAATGATCAATATTATTTCTAATAGTCTGGTTTACTTTTGTTGCTCATATAGAGGCATATGTATTAACTCCAGTCTGTTTCATAACCAGCTAATAACTCTTTACGGGAGCTTTAAATATCAAGCAGGAACTAGATATTGTTTATGAAAGGTAATGTTCGTGTGATGGTTACCATGTGCTATCAGTGTGTTGTTCGCTGCCTTGTGGTCCAGACTGTTTAGATAACTGTGGCAGCGCTCCAGATGCTCCTCCAGTGTGCTCTGTTGTTTGTAGCTACGACTGCAGAAGGTGCACTTGAAAGGTTTTCCCACTGTAGGAGAAGACACTGGAATTAAGAGAAAAAACATTTCAATGATTTCTTCTGAGACAGACAAATCGACACAAAATCTCACCCTATATGAAGGGTCCTGTTGATGGAATATAAAGGTGATGGTCATTTAAACATATGTGGGAGAAAAAAAACGCTTTACCTTGGACTTCCCCATTGATGGGAAATTACTGTTCTACAGTAAGTTGCTCAACAGAAAAACGTATAACTCTTCACCGCATCATTTCATCTTCTTAATTCGTCGGAGCGACTGACGTCAAATTCGCAGAAATCAGAATTGGTAAGAATCTTTTCTTGCAGAGAATCTACCAAAGACCTTTACTGTGTCTGTATGCGAACACCTGTGTGTTCAAAATTTAAAAACACCAACAGGATTTCCTGTTTTCACTAACTTTTGAATTTTGTCATGTGCTTTACTGTACAATGTGGTGGTGCAGACCTTTTTTTCTGAGCTTCACAGAAGCCACAAATGAACCCTTCTTATCCCCACATTTACCCCGGACCATTGTTTGCATATACTGTATATTTATTCAGCATCACCATAAGGAATAGTATTTCATTGTATTTTTTCCTTAATTCACCTGCATGTGTGCGGAGATGTCCAGCCAGGGCATCCCTCCGGCGACAAGCGTAGTTGCAAACTGGACATTTGAAAGGCTTCTCTCCTGAATGCAGCTTGATGTGGCGCAGTAAATTCCCCTTTTGAGTGAAGGAGGCTCCGCACTGGTTACACTGGAACGGCCTCTCACCTGGATGAATAGAGGATCATAAGAAATATTGCCTTTAGTTATTGACTTTAAATAATACTTTTTTTTTCTTTGCAGTGTTCTTGTTCTCACCTGTGTGGCTTCGCTTGTGCACCATGAGAACATTGGGACCAATGCAGATCATTCCGCACACCTCACACTGGAGCTTCCCGTTGGGCAGCCGGATGGGTCCAGGTGGGATCCACCCGGATTTTACACAACACTGTCCTGCAGGGTCAGGACTGACAATCTCATTGTAGACGCTCGCTCCGTCCCCTTCAGCCGCAGCGTACTCTGTGCCCCCTTCTTCCATGGGGTCCCCACTGTCATCCCTCCCGCTCTCGTCCCCCACAGCCTCTCTGTTTTCTGCCTGAGGAGCACCTGGTGACTCATCATCGCCACACAGCTCAACCTTGATGGAGTTTGCTGTATAGTGGGAGGATGTAGATAAATATATTTACTCTTGATGTTTAATTTAATAAAATAAATCCGATACAGACTGTGTAGCCACAGTGAAACAATCTAATGAAAACTGACCACTGAGAGAGCGGTGTGGTGAGGACTGCTGACTGTTTGGTGATCTCGCTGAAGGGCCCTGCAATCCGCCATAAAAGTCCTGTTCTGTTGACGACTCTCCTTCATTACCTGAAGCACAAATATGCCCACATTATTAAAGTAAACATGTGAGTCTGGTAACTCATACATAAATGTACAGTTGTTTTCCTTTTAGATATTTAACTGACCTTGTGCAAATGGGCATCCATTGCAGTCGTCAGCATTCATTCTGTCACCAGATGCCTATAAAATGATTTGAAATCTTCAATATTATCCCTTCACAATCATCAAAAAAGTCAAATTATCTTAATAATCAAACATACAAATTGCAAGTACACATTTAATACTTTAACTTTTAAATGAACCGTTTACTCACCATGTGTTTGTTGGTACAAGACTCAGGCTAGACTAACACCTTTATGCTTCAGCGCCGACTGACTTCCAGTGAGTTCAGAATCATTCATCTAGTAAACTTCTGCTCTGCTTTTTTTTTATTACTTAGTTTCTTCTGCTCTTCTTCACACATATGGAAAGTTAAAGGAGGAGCTAAAACTACCAGAGTGAACAGAATTACTGGAAATCTTCTTTCTGAAAGGAAATCTAGTGCAATACCCCCACAAACGCTCTACAGCGGAAAAACTGAGATAACCTCAACAAAGTTTATTACCAAGATGTTTTTTTTTTCTTCTTTTTTGAGTTCAGCTTAAAGCTCATAGCCTATACCACTTGTCTACAGGGGGAGCCAAAATTACACATCGGAAAGTTCCTCACCTTAAAGTCAAACTTGCTAAATCCCTGTATTATTTTAGCTGCAAAGAAAGCATTAGAAGAGAAAGTAGATTTTTTTTTGAAAGATTAAATGTAGGCATATGGTAGGCTATAGGGTAATGAGTAGCCTATATATCTTGTCACTTGTCTTTTGTTGGTTGTATTATTTTGAATGATCATATTTACCTGATATATTTTATTAGATTATAGTTTATAATATTGTATTATTATGTTTTCTTATTTTGTCCAGCCCCCTCTCTTAAATACATAAAGCTAATAGAGAAATAATGAATTATTGTTTAAAAATTCGCCATAGGTTACCTGAGGTTACCTCCACATAAAATGACACAGGTGCTGCCTTACAGCATTTGAAGATACAGCATAATGTTGATTTTATGTCACCAGAGTTCATGCACATAGGGCTCTTTTTTGATTTCAAGATTAGAGAAAAAAAGACAGATGAGAGAAATATTCAGCTGTACATCGCTGGACCTTTAGCTCTCAAATGGATGACAACAATGGACAGCGGAGACTGGAGAGAGAGGGGGGGTGGAGGGGGTAGAGGGAGGGGGGCGGAGACGACACCTCGCAGGGAAAATTAATATCCTGGCATTAGCTGCACATGGGCGCAACAGGCGCTGCTACAGACGGGAGACGCGCCAGTCAAACAAGGGCACGGCGATTAAAAAACGCACACCAGACATTTTCTTCCCGATACGGCCAACGTGCAGTAAAACACACATCGTTATATTTCATAAACTCTCCAGATTGTCTCGCTATTTGTAAGTGGCTTCTCGCTGCTCGGGGAAATGAGCTTTCATATAGACCCAAACATGCAACGCAGACGGTCCTAGACGGCGGCTAGACATAACGGCAATTTGTTGCAGGAGTTGCCACTGTCCACATTATCCGCATGAACGCTGCTGTCACCCAGCATCGAGCACGTCAAAGGGCCTGAGCTGTACAATGTTTCTCATGAGCCCGTTGCTATGGCACCCGACCACACGACAAATGGCATTCACCCGACCAACTACTCAAAAACATGCTGTACTTTCAAATGTAAAGAAATGGATGGTCTTACCAAGCGTTGCGGAGAAGTCCACGAGCCTCTTCCCTATCTGGCGACCGACTGGTGTTTTCTTTTTTAATTGTCTGGATAGCTGTTTGTTTTCCCAGGCGACGACAGCATCTCCGGGATTTTTTTTTTTTTTTTTTTTTTTTTTTTTTTTTTACCTGGGAATCCCAAACAACTTCCGGGCCCATGCTGGGATACAGACCGAATAATTGTACAACAGAGCTCCAGATTCAGTGATTGTCGAATGCATCGATGCATGTCAGCTGCGGGAACAGGTGGTAGAAATGTGATGAAATTTTACTCTTACAGCCAATAGAAGAACACGTTATAGAATAGCCTACTGTGCAGGAATAACTTTATTGAAAATAGCCTACAGGCTATTCCGCTGTCCAGGAAGCTGGTTACATTGAATCAAATGATGTGCCACATCAATTAGAAAATGTCAATGGTCTATTCCTCATCCAGAAATGCTAAATGACAGTGCAACCTCTTTTTGGCTTGTGTCGTTATAGGCTACCATTATTACACTGTTATGACATAGGCCTATGTCAAGAATTAAACGCTGCAGCATTCCCAGTGTACAGTTAAATGATATGTGTTTGAAGTGGTGGTTGAGCGTTTTAATAGAATATAAGGAGACAATTAAATATAAGTAAAATGTTTTGATGGAATTGTTTATGATGCTAATATAGCTATAACACCACAAGGTGGCGGCAAACTTCTGTTTGACACCAACTCTGCCAAGTAACAAATCAAAAAAAAAACTGTGGATGTCTAAAAAATGTCTAAAACACATGCAAGTCACTGATCGTGATCTGCTTTTAGATTTTTATCAAAAAATAATGAGTGAGAAGACAATGCAATCAAGAGTCTCACTGTTGAGCAACTATTCAGGACAATCGGTAAATAATGAAGGGAAACTATTTGAATCGTTGAGGTCTGTGGTGTTGAAGAAGGACCTCATAAGCCTCCTGGACCCTCACAAACATTGCCTCAGCATCCTTGCTTGGATTGTGGTCTGGATGCCATTTCTTTGCTTGCTCCCTGTAGCTGCGGGTTATCTCTTCAAGAGAGGCTTCTACTTCCAGTGAAAGTACCTGCAACACAAACACATCACATAAAATATTTGGAAATTATGACTTCACTTCCTGGAGATGTTCTATATAATATCCCTTTTGTTTCCTTTCCGGAGTTATGAGATCGCTTACCTGAAGTGCCTCTTTTTCCTTCTCAGTGTATTCCTTGAGCAGTATGTCCAGTACCTTCCTCCAGGCCTCTTCATAGTAGCCCCCTCCAGTAATAACACACAATATCCGATATGGCATTAGAAGTATGTACTCCAATACACTTCTGAGCCAAGGCAAAAACCAGAAAAAGTCTAGCAATGCTGCAAAACAGTCAGACAGGTAGTACAGAGTGGCTGTGGTGTTATGGAAAATACAGTAACCCAGAGGAGCAGAGAAGGCCAGCCAGGCTAGACCAAGCCTGTAAAGCCTTGGACCTGGATGAAAAACACAAATGTTGTTACATGAGCATGGTCATTCAGACCAGTGAACTATCAAGGTGTTGTTGTCATATTAGTGTGATCTTACCTAGTTCCTGTGTTGACCCAGGTGTTTGTGGAGGTTTGAACCTGCGATGCTTTGCTGCAGTCACACTGGCAGCCAGGCTTATAGGGAGAGGTGAAAATGAGCTTCCATAGAATATTGGAGAGGTTATGAGACAAGTAGTCAAAGTTTTTTGGAGATCAGAGGTCTGCTGGCCAATACTGGACACCAGGTGCACCCCTGCACCCACACATAGAGGCAGAACGATCAGGTAGAAGAACCTGAGGGAGTTCAGTCCGATCACAGCCACGATGCCGAAGTAGATCCCAACACACACCTGTCCAGCAAATCTGACAGGGCCGACTGATGGAACTCTTCTTTCTTTCTCTGCATCTTGATTGACCTCTCCAACATATGCAGGAATACGGAAAACCTCTCTGACCCAGCCAAACCCAAATCCACCAATGGTTAGCATCCACAACAAAGCATGGCTGTCTCTTCCTAAGTATAAATGGTGAAGGCCCAAAGGCCCACCTACTGCCCACAAAAAGTAGGCCACCATTACACTTTTTGCCATCCTTTGGCCTGTGTGGATCAGTCCTTTTGAAGGTATTTAGAAGTCATCCTTAAAGAATACCTGAAATTAAAGGAAGATTTTAGTCTAAACTCAATACAAAACTTTGTGTAAAATAAATAAAAAATCTGTGGAACCCTGAAAATAACTTTCCTGTCTTTTTTTGTGAGGGCCTGTAGCTTCCTCAGGTTTGCCAAGCACCATCCTCTTGACAAAAATATGGTACCTGAATGTTTCTAATGTATATGCAAGTCAATCTAGCTGTCTGTGTTATTAGATTATGATAGTGTAGTTGTGATTCGTGTTGAAGCTGCGGGCTGTTGGGACCTTTGCCAGGGCGTTTTAATCTCTGTGATCCACTCCGACGGTTAAGTAATATATTATATAAGAGGGATTTATCTCATCTGTCATTTACTGACATTGTCATTTTGAGTCATTGCGTGATTCAAAACATAGTAGGCTGTTAGACTCCATGTCATTATTTTTTTTAGATAAAAGACATAACAAACTAAGATGTCAGAGGTGGCAACTTTTCTAAATAAAAAAACAATCCTTAAGAAAACCAAAGAATAATCGTTTAATCTATACTTTCTTTTAAAATACATCTTAGATTTGGTTTTGTATTTAAAAAAAAAACATGTTACTTACTGGGAACATAATTTCAATCCTTATAACCGATTAATCCTTTCCAATCCTTTCCGTATTGCAGTGGGTGCATGTTGTCGCAACAGTTGGACTTTGGATCATGAAATTATACTGCAACGTCAACTCATGAAGCGCATCAACATGTTGTCCCCTTGCTCATGTGAACTGATGAAGCCAGAAAATCATCTTAAACAGATATTAGGTTATATATATTATATTATAGATATTATAATGGTGCTTGAATACCTTCATCTGTCTGAGAAAGGAGATGGCATTGTAAACATAAACAAACTTGAAATGAAATAGAGCATGAAGAATGGGGAAAGAGCATCATAAAGATATTTCAAATGTTAAGCTATTTTTAGTGTATGTGCCATCTATAGGCGCTATTCATTTAGAAGTAAATCTGTTTTAAAAATATAAGCCTATAGGCTACTTCTCTAAAGCCATCATCTTAGTTATTATGAAAAAAAGGTTAACCTGGAGAATATAAAGTAAAGTACTTTAATTGTGGACAAATTGCCCTTGAAGGATTATGGCCTTATTATATTTTATGATGACGGAATACTGATGCAATTGGGTGTATAGCAGCATTTGATATCTTACATGATGGCTATCAGAGTAACTGTAAAACAAATATATAATCGTGCAATGTAGCCTCACTGGTAGCCTAAAAAGCCTGTTACATGTGACTATTTTGAAGACAGTTTGTGGGGGGGGGATCTAAAATGTAGTTCAGAAATAGCCTGTTGTAGCCTATAAAATGGAAATGAAAAATAAAAAATAAACAAGTTCCTCAGTCAGAATTATACATAGTATAGTATAGTACTTTTGGCCAGGTGTCTTCCTAATTTAAACTACCTACTGATTTACATATCCATTCACTTCTCAACGGTATATGGATAAATCATAATGTAGGCACACATGAGAGCTCAAAACAATGAAATACTTACACACGTCATGAACATTTTACCCTTTATAACATTACCCTCCCTGGTATGTTGAATATGTATACACACCTTTGTACATGAATGACCTAAGTAGATCGATGACGCCGGCCAAATAGTTATAGTGACGATTGACAGCTACCTGTCGGGCTCTCCAGCCTTCCTCTTACTTAGCCCCGCCCCCTGGAGACCCCTCCTTGTTTGAGTTTTATCAAAGCTGAGTGTATAGCAGCCGGCTAGCTCAGCCGTTTCTATGCAGCCGGGCTGACAAGCAGCTCACTCACGGCGTTACTTATAAAATGACCCGTGTTTTAAAAACTTTTTAACATGTTCTAACTCTTTCCAAGTGCTTTTCAGCCTGAAGATACGGTTATGTTTTTGGAGGATGGAAACGGAGGACGTGTCGGTTAGAGAGCAACTTTTCCACAACCGTGTCAGGGAGACCATAGTGAGTAAGCCTACCGCTGCACTATTGTGACCGTCGGTTAATATGCATATGAGGGTCGCCCCTAACAATACAGTCAGCCGTCTAATAAGTACAAGGAAGCCTCTTGGGTTTACTAGTATGGACTACTATTTGTATTTGTTTTTTTTTCTCGAGTCGAAAGTTCATCCCTCAAATTCAGACTGCTAAAAAAGTCGCATTGGACATAAGTAGGCTAACCTTAAACTTTTATTTAACGTGGCTTATAGTTGTTTTTTTTAACGGTTTTAATTAATCTTTTCTTGCTGTCTTAACCTCTGTGCACACGCTACTATGTGGATGCAGCTGGTCATCATGCATAGAAACATCAAGGAGCTTACTTACTCAGCATCTGCGAATACTGTTCTTCTCTTCAGTCACGACCACAGAGCCTCTTCCCAAAAACGTCTTTATCTGTGTGCTGTGGTTTTAAATCAAGCTGATCTTCTTCTTCTTGGTCTACTTCACTGTTACTCTGTTTTTTTTTTGTGTGCTGTTCTTTCAGAGTGATTATCTATTTTTGTGTAACATCCACAGCACAGTTGGACTTCAGACTTGAAAGGAAGACCAGTTCAGTTACAGCAAGACACACAGATCTTGACCTTTAACCCTTGACAGTGCTCTTAGTAGAGATATTGCTGATAGTGATACCATGTACCATAAGGGACAATGCCAAACTAGACTACACATGTTTGCTGCACACTTCAGAATCAGTGGTTGACTTATCAATTTGTCCTGGTTCTGCTGAACTGTACATAGATAAGAGCGACTAAAGCCCACATAAGTGATGATGTGCAACACTGTGTAACTGTAGATTAGGCTAGCAGACAGATGTAGCCTATGGTTGAGTTATACCATATGGGAATAAATATCCTTTAATATTTTGGTGTTCCAGTTTCAAGGCTCTTGAACCATATTTGATAATAAACATGTGTTATTTGTAGAACTGAAAGGTTTTTTTCTGCTATGACTACTAGTCAACTTTTCTTTTCGAAAATGAAAAGTCTTTATCACTGACTACATCCAAAGTAAAATCATCTGATTGGATAAAGTGTTTGTGATGCTTTTGGAACTGAATGAGCTCCATAACTATCTGTTTTGTGGTAAGTTGTCATATTTTGAAATAGACGGTTGTTGCTATTGACTAAATGAATCCATCAACTCCATGCATCACAGGAAGGGTTAGGTTAGTTACATCCACCAGAAAATATCAAACATGTATTCCGATGCACTTCTGTTATCCTGGTTCCTTTCCCCTTCAGACCTGAACCCATGAGATAACACCCCCCTTCTTAAGCCAGTGGCTGACCACAAGTCTCAGACTTACTGTCTTTAATCAGTGCCAGTGCTCCCACTCATGCTGGTCAGCTGCCCCTGCATCTCTCTGATCATTAATGTATTCATGCTATTATCAGATTATTTTGAATACAGGAATATTTGTTCTAAAACAATCAGAGGAAACAGATTAAAACCATAAAAAGATGACGGAGATAAAAGGTAAAAGACATAAAGACAATACAGTCTGTTTGTTGTCGAAAAAAAACATCATATTTATCCACTATTCTTATGAAAGAAGTTTTTTGGAACATTAAAGCTGCAAACACAAACCATCATTGCTAGTTTTTAATCTAGCTCTTGTTATGTCATAGCATCCTATAAAGCCAGAATCTGCCTCAAGGTCTTTTGGATTGAAAGCTATTAGGATATGAGAATATTTGTATTAAAATGAATTCCTCTTTTCTTCTTTTCCTGCTTCAGAGTTACAGGAAAAAAAAGGCTCCAATTCTAAATATGTTTGAATGAAACAACCATGTAAACCATGCATTCAAACATTGACTTTAGTGTTCTTCAAAGAGATGGTTTAGCACACAACAACCAGCTCATCACTGAGAAGCTGTTAGTGGCCATGATTGTAACAAGAGTACCAGGGTGTACACGAGATGATATAAACAGTGAGGCCTTGAGTACACACCCAGAGCCCGCACCCTGTGCCTGGAGGAATTAAGAAGGATCAATGATCAGCAGAATAAATAGCTCATAATAGATACATGGAACACCCAGCATTAGCACGTATTGAGATATCTTAACACGCGAAGTGATCTTCAAAAGTGTGTTTCCATGAAATCATTTTATGTAGGAGAAAGCAGAGAAACATTAATCATTATTTTATTCAAGCATTCGATCAAATCTCTTTTCGGAAGTCATTTTTTTAAAGCAGAGGTTATATAATGATTTTGATGGAGGATTACGGCCAAAGCACATTGTCCATGAAGTAATTCATTTTCCTTTTCTCAAAAACATAAATACAAGAATAAAGACTCACATCTTCAGCTCTACCATCTCTTCAATCTCGTTTGATTAAGCGATCAAATATTTGCTCTCACATTCCACTCAAATGATCACAACTCTTGAAACGAACGTACTGAAGCTGGCCGCCTAGTCTCGGATCAGGATGTCCTTGCCCGTGCAGCATTTTCAGTTATTACTGGCTGTTCTACAACATCTTAAATAGTTTTACCTAATCTATCCTCTTACTTGTAAACAAAGGCAGTTATGCTTTGCCTGAATATGTTTGGTTGGACAAGAGGCGAGGTGCCCCTGAAATAACCCACACTGAGAGAGAGGGAGTCCACTTGATATTTTGAGGGGGATTTACTGTCAGTGCCAACCTCCAGCTCCTTTTGAAATGGTACAGGAACTGCAAGGTTAGGCAAGATGTGAAAACATTAGAGGATCATTGTTTTGTGCTTGAATCGGCACAAAGATGTTTAGGTAACTCAGTGACTCTTAAACACTCAGTGAACTCTTGGCCCTTGGGCTTGTTGAACACAAAGATGTCTCTCTGTATTCTAGTATACTTTAAACCCTCTTCTCAGTGGCCTGCTACGTGTGCTGCCAGCTCTCAGCTTTGCCAATGAGCACGTGTTCACATATGTGTGAACTATATGGGTGTTAATCTGCCACTCCATCCTTTTTTTCACACCACATACAGATTCATTGTTCTCTTTTTCTTGGATTAACCCTCGCTAGCTCTTACAAAATTAGGCTGAATTATTGAACAATTTTGCAGCCTGAGCTGATAAATTGTACAGTCCATTATTGTTATGTGAGGCAGCCAGTGTGAGACCAACGAGCATTCACTTGTATACAGAGAAAAATGTGACTTTTTCAACAGCTCCACCTTTTATGTTTGAAATTTAGTTTGAAACAAAATGTTTGCTGGATATATTCGTCAATATAGGGAATAATAAAGCGATGTTCAATGGGTATATGTACAGCAGGACTCAAAGATATGTGTGAATAACCTTCCTTTGTCAATTGGGCTTAGGAAGTTGGCAGCTGTTAAACTGAAACATACAGCACGATAAAACCAGCCTCTTATGGTCCCCTTTTTTTAACAACGATTTGCAGAAATGAGATGGTAGCGTTTTTGTCTGATTTTTCCTCCACTATCAGTTTTCATTTGAAATCTAAAGTGGGTCGACATCTTGTTTCGGGATCATGTGGGAGGAGGGGTAGGCTCATACCTCTGCCTATGTTATGGTGCCATATGAGTGATCCAATTTAAATGTTCCTTTTGTTATAGAATCAAAGAAAAAAAGGCACACTGGAGAGTTTTGACCTAGTTGTCTCTTGTTATGGGACCTTTCTTTGTTTTAACCTCATGCATTGAACTATATGTTTCTGTATTATACCATCATCATCATCTGTGGGAAACCTGATGCCTAAGGAACAACTCATATCCATTCTAATGCACTCATGATGCCCTCATGAACATCAAGCTGGTTTTGCACCTTAAAGTATGTTATCACATTTCTGTCATTCTCGCTCTTTGTTTTGTTGCTGTTGATACCTCAGGAACTAAATATTACATCCTGTCACCCTTCTGGGCTTCCTCTGAGCTGCCATGCAGAAAAAAGTTTCAGTCTATGTATGCGGTCTGGCAACATAAATCATGCTGCTATTAGTCCTACACTTAGTGTACTTCGTCTCTCCACTGTTAAATAAATGCACACACAAAGTATCACAGACTGTCTTCACCCACAGAGGATTCATGTTGATTACTTTGGTGACCCTGAAGGTCTGAAACACTGAGAGTCATGAATGTAGATCTCTAAAACAAAAGTGAATTCCTGTCATTCTTTGTACTTGGATAGCTAATACTTAAATTGGTTCTCTAGTGAGTGTGGAGGGAGTGACTTGCCCACCCATTAAAGACATTTTTTGAATGAAACATGGTCTTAACTTCAATTGCGGCGACAATACACCGGCAAGTTTGTCTGTCTTTATTTCATTTTATACACTTATATAGCGCCTAGCATGCTGTGAGAAAGAGAGAAGTCCGTGCACCCAAAGTCAAGCTTTGTGCTTTTCTTCTTGAAACACAAGTTCAGCATTCAGATTTGTGTAGGATGTGTCTGTTGATTTGTTTGCATCAACTCGGTGTTAGCAGACTTAATGAAGTGGACAGAACCAGAGTTAATCTTAGAGATGATTTTCTGTCTTCGGGGTTGCATGTTGAGAGCATTGCCAGACAACAGATTGCTGAGTGAATTTAGGTTTAGCCTATATCTGTTGGCAGATTCAGTATAATTTCAGATAATGATCTTTACGCCCAGCATGGGGGCTGTCACTGGTATCAAACCTTCTTTTACTACCCTTAATCCTCCCTCACTGTCCCCCATTTCACTCTTTGTTGAATACATTGATAATCTTTAGACTCCATCTGTCCCTCTTGGCCTTTGCAAAATGGTGACTGGTCTTGGCTGTTTGCATCTGTTCCGGTACATGGCTTGTTTTGATTATTTTCTTTCTGTTTTTTTCTGCATGAAACAGAATGTTCTTTGAAAACAAATGTGTTGTAGTTAAACTAATCTAAATAAGGTGCTGCTTCTCAGCAGTGCTGGACTCTATTTGGAAGGTTTCTTTTTTGCAATTATCTCCTAAAGCGAGTAAAAGAAAACCACTCACACACAACATGTTCTCAAACTATGCAAAGTGTAAAAGATTTTGAAAAAAAAAAGTTCTTTCTTCCTCTTTTTGCAGATCTGTGTACTCCTGTTTACATGTCTTTACATGGTGGCCTACATCATCCTGACCCACTTCAAGAAGGCTGCAGAGTTCGTCACAGGTGCGTTTTAAAGCCATTCTCTTTCTGGATTTTCAACATGCAGCACACAAAGACTCCTCTGTGAGAGTGAGAGAAACATCACAGGCTTGTGGAAAACTGCCGGGAGGGGAATTAATGGTGTTGACAAGCATACAGATTGTGTGTGTGTGTGTGTGTGTGTGTGTGTGTGTGTGTGTTGCGTGTGTGTGCATGTTTGTAAAAATGCAATATTTATTTATTGCTTAACTATCATCGTTATTCTTTTTAAATAATTTTTATTGCAAACATTTCTTAAAACACAAAACACAGAGGCTTTTAGATGGGGGAAAAAGCATTTTCTGTGTTTGCATTCATGTAAATGTAGCCTAGGCTTTTACATGGTGCTAAGATTGCAATTTTCAACCTGAGGCCCTGGACCTCGGCTGTCAGAGTCCAGAGGTGCAGAGGGCGTGTTATGTAACGTGTAACCACCTCCTCAAGCAGTGTCTCTGTGGAGGGGAAGTGAAGAATGTTGTTACAAGACAAACACAAGTATACTTGTGACTAAAAACCAGCCCCTCCATTTACATGCAGATATCTCAAAGATCTTGAGATTGGACTCATTTTTCAATGTGTTTTTAATTGTTAAGACTAAAGACAATGCAATATAAGTAAGTTAAATAAGTTTACAGTTCTGCAGTTTGACTTGCCAAACTATTACACAATAAATCCAATTACTTATTATTCAAACCAGATGTCGGCTATCCAGCCATCTCCACTCTCTGGTTGGAACCTGCAGGACAGCTTTTTTCCCCCAGTTGTTTAGTTTATTTTCATTTCTGTTAAAGGAGTTCAAACCTGCTTTACATTAGCCTGCTGTCGTCTGTGCATCAACAACAGCAGAGCAGTTGTGCCCTGTAGCTAAATGATGATTGTGCAATATTTTGACAGAGTTGTTTTTGACTCTAAGGAGCGAAGAACTGGTTTTGACTCCCAGGCTTTTTCATCATTATTATAAGGACTTTGGCAGAATCTGCACAGAAAGAAGTAACAAAGACATGCTCAGTGCACTGCATTTCACACAGCAGTTCATACCGTCTAGTTCTCACAAACTATAGCATGTTGCTTAATAATAAACAGAGTTACACTTGTAGAATTGTCCCCTAGATATTCCTAATAGTCCACTCTTTTTCAGCTCATGTCATTTTACTAGGGTCTTGGTCTTGCTTGAACAAAATGTTCCTAACTTGCAACCCCCCCTTCCCCAACACCATACTCTGAGGCCATTGAAACCTTCTCTTGTTTCCTCGACATATGGACTGCCTTCTTTACAGACTTCACCTATGTACACTATCTGTGTATACAGTAAACATAAACCCCCTTTCTTACGACCGCACAGACTTGATATGTTTACATTTCAACACTTGGCCTGTTTGCATTTGGAATTATGTCTAAGACTGGATCAGTTAAGTTTTTATAGATAACACGTTGGTTAAGTCTGTGGTAACTTACCCTTCTTACTCCATTGACCTCAAAAACAGTGTAAATCTGTCTGATTACAGCTGTAAACATACTTCTATTTATTGCTCTCTTTCAGATGATATCGAGGATGCCACGGTCAACAAAATTGCGTAAGTGAAAACGTATGATTGACTGACCCACAGGAATCTGTGTTACCTCACTTACTGTGATTAGTGTCAGTGGGAATGGTCAGAGTAGATATCTTAGTCAACCTGACTTGTGTAGCACCCATTCAGCTGTAGATTTATTGCTTGGTCTTGTTTGTGCCTGTGTAGTTTTTTGCTTGTTGGTTGTGATGAAGTCATGCCAGTGTCACTTCGCCCTTTGCCCCTACACGCTGGCACTGTATTGCTTTATCCTGGGCCACCCTTTGATCAAGGCTGTTCTGTTAGACAACACAAAAATCCCAAGCTTCCTTGTGAATTCACTGATATCTTTCTTTCTCTCCCAGGCTGTGGTTGTGCACGTTCACCCTGTCAGTCGCGGTGTGTGCTGTGCTCCTTCTCCCCATTTCCATTTTGTCCAATGAGGTGCTGCTCACATTCCCACAGAGCTACTACATGCAGTGGCTCAATGGATCTCTTATCCACGGTACTTTTTTTTTTTTTTGTATTAGTCCTCAACACCAAACAGTAGATGATCGTCAAAAGAACCAGCGGAATTCTCTCTGTAACTAGCTCAGATTTAATGAGGATCACTGGTAACAAGCTCCAAATCAATACACTACAGGCCTGTGTCCAAACATATCACTATTATAGATACAGCAGCTGTGACCTTGTGTCGTCTTTTTAGAAATGATCCAACTGTTTGCTACCACACTTTTCCCCTCCAACTTTATTGAATAACAGGAATTTATTCAATGTTTCCATCCAATTGATTTCTTAGTTGAAGGATCAATAATTATGAAGGCCAAAAGTAAACCTTGTCTGTAGCTACAATCTAATATTTTATACACGTTTTATATATTTTAAGTTGTTGCACAATTTAATTTCTTGTGATTTCATGGCCAGTCTAGTCCTGCTACTTCACAACACAGGGTATGACTACACCTCACAGTGGCTGACATGGGGTACTACCAAAATGCTTCACTGTAATTTTAATTCTTAGGAATGTGTTTGTTTTAGACTGATTACTAACATTTCCAACATCTTTCTGATTTTTTTTTTTAGGATTGTGGAACCTAGTTTTCCTTTTCTCCAATCTGTCCCTGGTCTTCCTCATGCCCTTTGCATACTTCTTCACAGAGTCTGAAGGGTTTGCAGGGTCCAGAAAGGTAAATTTTGTTTTGGCACTTCCTGAACAAATAAAGCATCCTGACTCTTACGAACCTTAAATGAGGACTTAAAGTTGACAGCATGTATCAGGTCATAGAACATCTCTTTTGTCTGTGCAGGGGGTCATGGCACGAGTTTATGAAGCAGTGGTGCTGCTCTTGCTGCTGGCTCTGCTCGTGCTGGGCATTGTGTGGGTTGCATCAGCCCTGCTCCATGACAACATAGCCAGGAAAAGTCTCTACGGTGAGTCACATGCATAATAAGTGTATCCCTCAATGAACAGCTGATTTAACAGTTTTAATTTAGCTGCTTACACTCTCCTCTGATTTCTCAGACCTGTGGGAGTATTACCTTCCCTACCTATACTCAGGCATCTCTCTGTTTGGAGTGTTGCTGCTCTTGTGTAAGTATATCTCAATTACAATTACATGAGCAGCTCAAGGCTTGAGCAAATTAAACTTTCATACCACCATCTGTGTGTTTCTGTCCTCAGTGTGCACTCCCTTTGGCTTGTCCCGAATGTTCAGTGTAACTGGCAGCCTATTGGTCAAACCGCGGGTAAGTCACGCACCCAGTGACTTGAACTTCATATTTCCAACTTCATATAGAATTGTCCTTACATCGGCAATCTTCATGTAGCTGTGAACTGTATTTTTTTAAACGGATGTGTCTTATTCCCCTCCAGCTGTTGGAAGATGTCGATGAAACTTTGAACTGCACCACATTTGAGGAAGACGCCCTCTCTAGGAAACTGAACTGTGAGTGCAGCACCGTGAAAACACTCCTTTTCCATTTCTGACAGTTCACTTTAAAGCTGATTCCTTGACATTTTGTTTCTACAATGTATTATTATCTGAATAAAGGTAGCAGTACATCATGCTGGGTTAAACTCAATTTGGAAGCGATGAAGAGAGAGTACCAAGCAGTCCAGAGCAAGCGCATCGCCCTTGGTAAGATTTTCTTGGCAGGATGATCTCTGCTCTGCTTGTCTAACAATGATGACATGCTCATGTTTTTTAGCTGTAAACTCTGTTTGTTTTTAACCCTGACAGAGATGCGTAGGAAGGCGTCCCCATGGCAGAGAAACTTGGGCTATCCGCTGGCCATGCTCATGCTCCTCGCACTGACGGTACAGGCTTATTTATTGATACTCTAACTCTCTGGTTTATTAACACAGGCGATTGTTTTCATCACTTCATAATTACTCTATTTCCTCAGGTGATGTGTGTGTTAATGGTCTGCTTCAACGTGTTGGAGTTGCTCCTGGATGAGACGGCCATGCCCAGAGGGATGGAGGTCAGCATTTTGCCAAAAGAAAATTCTGGGTGTTGACACAGCAACTTTTTTGACTGTGTAAACTTACATTTGTTGTTTCTATGTGTTGTAGGACCCTCACCTGGGGATGGCCTCCTTCTCCATGTTTGGCTCACTGGGCGCTGCAGTTCAAGTAGTCCTTATCTTGTATCCTTTTTTTAATTTTTTTTTATCAAATTCACCTTCAACTAAGAGTTAACCTGTCATGTCCTTTTGTCATGCTGTTAACGTCACATATTAAAAATAGTTCCCTCTATTTCTGCATATTTGAAATGTCTCTCCAGTATTTCCCTTAAAAAAAGATTTCAGTTACCTGATGGTTTCGTCTGTGGTGGGCTTCTATAGTTCTCCTCTCTTCATTAGCCTAATGCCTCGTGCACAGGACACCAACCTCACACAGGTACCTGACAGCTCACCTTCAGTCGTGTCTAATCTCACAGTGGCAAACAACCAGCAATGATACGTGGTATATTTGACCTCTGATGTCTGTTGGTTTCAGATGATTGCAAACTGCGTTTCACTTCTCATCCTGAGCTCAGCATTGCCCGTCTTTTCACGCACACTTGGTAAGGATGCAGCATTAACTACAATTACAGAAAAGGCTACAGCTTTTCCTCCAGTGTCATTATTACTTGAAATCTAGGGATTCACAAGTTCCATCACCATGCCATATAACATTGTTTCTTTAAAAATGGTAGGACTTTTGCTGAAGTGAAAAAGTCTGCCTCATTGTGATGTAGGTTTTATTCAATCTGTGGCCACTTTGTATCGATGATATAGGATTGCTGATCATGATCACTGATCCATATTGATGTTTCCTTACACCCCCAACTTATTCTTAGCAAGCTTCAAATGTTTCCTGCGTTTAAAGTGTAAAAGGGGCAACCTTTAGTTTAGTAGATACTGTGTGTATTTTTCTATACTTATTTGGTTGTGCTGTTGATGTACAATGTTGTCCCATATTAAAGTGCATTTATAGAAGAAGTTAATAGTACTTACATTTGCAGTTTAAGAAGCATTTCAAGAAACTGTCGATGTTGGTTTTACATTTAAAAAAAGATTAGGAAAACAAAAACTTGTAAATCTTGGAAAATGGTCTAATGTTTATTTAAATCCAATAGATAACCTGAATAGTGATATACTTTCACAAGTGGTTATTTGGTCGTTGGTATGTAGTCTGATGTGATAAGAACACAGCTTCTTGTTTGTAGTATCAGAAGTTTCTGAATCAACATTTTACTTGTAGTTTTAGGAAAGACCACAAGATGGCACCTTTGTGCCATGGTCACTTGAGGTGCATGTGAGGCCCTGTTCAGTAGTTCATTCAACAGTATAATACTTTCTTCTGCATCCATTCCTTTCTGTCAGGGATCACACGCTTTGATCTACTGGGAGACTTTGGACGCTACAACTGGCTTGGGAACTTCTACATCGTCTTCATGTACAACATGCTGTTTGCTGGTCTCACCTCAGCCTCCCTGATCAAGACGGTCACCTGGGCCGTACAGAGAGAGCTCATCCGTGCCTTTGGTCAGTCTTATTTCATTTTAAGTCAAGTTGACCTACTTTGTATAAATGAATTTGTGTATGTGGGCATGTGTTGTACCTTGTAGCTCTTAGGTATTAGTGTCGTATGTTTTCCCACCTTTGGCCCCATTTCCCTGTGGGCTGGTCTCTCTTCCTCAGATAGAAAGAATACAATTATTTCAGGAAAGTGTAAAGGGACAAGAGTAGTCAGGTCTCCTTGGGGACCTTCAGGCACACCGCCCTAGACCCCTCACAGCCCACACGCCTTCTACCTCTCCACCCAACACAAACAAGAGCTCAGAGCATGGACACACCAACACACACGCACGTACACGCAATCCCCTTCCTCACGGCACAGATAGCATCTCTGCACCATGGCAGCTCCTCCTGCAATTTCCCATTGCCTCCCAGCTCACTTTTGTTCTGTGATTAATAGACATTCATGTCATCTAAAAACACTATTTTCTTAGCTTCTCAGGTTTGGAACCCACCTTCTGATTGTGTGTGACGTTATGGTCTTTCCTTTCTTTTTTTCCTTTTTCCAGGTCTCCACAGACTGCCTTTGACTGTGTCACGCTCCACCGTCCCCTTTAGACTCCTCCTGGCCAGTGGACTGTCTAAAATCCAGTGAAATTTCCACTTCACCACTGCCTTTTCTAACCTTAAGAAAGTGAGCCACTTCAAATGTGCACCCATTGGATTCCCTTTGCCAGTAGATGCATTGGTTGGGCCTTCTGTGAGGAGACATGGAACGATGAGTCTGTCTGCACTGACCAGCAGAGGCTCCAATTGAAGCTGTGACTAATATATTTGGGTCAAATTGAGTGACTTTCGATGACTGCAAGGACAATTGCTGGTACAAGCATTTAGCTGAGTCATAGTTATGGACTGGAAGGGAAAAGGGATCTAAGTCATTTTGGCAGTCCCGCCATAGTGGACAATAATGAGCATTCCCCCCTCGAATCATGATGACAGAGGATCAAGTGGATAACCGTTGTTCTGTCCTTTTGAAATATTATATTGTAACTGTGACATCATTTCCTCTTCCTGCTTCCAGGTTAGTTGACGGCTCTCCCTTTCTTCCCCACGCTTTCCTCTCTTAGGTTGTAAAACTATTTTAAGATTGTGAATCTTACTACCATGTGGTCCAGTCTGCACCAGTGTTATGTTAGTTAATGAGAGGAGGTTGTAGGAGAAATTAGGACTCGGAGTATCCTGTATGTCTGTGGCTCTGTCTGCAGGCTACACAGGGAATATGAGTGAGGAAATCTTGTCATTGCTGGAGCTCTTTTTATTAGTGGGTTAAAAAGCATTTTATCTTGTGATTTATCATTGAACAGGGTTTTTACTATTGTAGATGTCAGTACATCTAATGAGTGAGGATGACTCATTTGAGAAACAAAAATAGTCTAAAAGGAAAGCTTTAAACGTTGTGTTATGCAAGACTTTTAAATGTCATGTGACACTCAATCAGAGGAACTTCTGCCTTTGACCAATCAAACTGTGAATTTATTACAATTTTTTTTTTTGGGAAGTGCAATATTTTATAAACAACATTCCACTTTTTAACCTAACCAAAAGCAATTAATTTTTTTTGTATGCTTTCTGTTGATATTTGTGACATGTTTTTTGATCTCAGTCCTTCATGTTGACATCAGATGAATGTTTAGAGTCGTTCCAGGATGTTTTCAATAAGCAAATGTGACAATCAATGTACACAATCCTTTCTGATATCAGTTTTATTGCTTTGATAACTTAAGTTCTATTGTGTTCGTCAGCTGTATCTCATTTTGGTGATCCTGTGTCACAGTTTATCTTTGCTGCTGTATCAGCAGGTTATTAGCTGTCGGTTTGACCAGCAGGGGGCAGTGTCTTTAAAGGCCCATACCATTTTCTCTGAGTCTTGTTAGTTCCTCTTTGGTTAGTCATTATATGTATTATACATGGAACACTCTGAGGTTTACCCATTTCACTTTCTGGGAATTTTCTTTTGTTTTGTGAGAAAACTCTTTTTTTATAATGTACAGTTTGTTCCATTATTTATAAGCATGTTGGCTTCTCTACTTCACATGTCAAGTCTGAAAAATGTAGAATGTGATACAGTTGAGTTAAAAACATCTTAAGAATTGTTTTCAAAGCTAGAAAATTGTGTTTATTGTTTACTTTTGACAAGCTCTGAGCAGAGTTTGTAACCATCATCATCATTAACAGAGAGCAATAAAAGTTGTCTTGTGTTTTTAACTAGTCTGGTTCACTTGTTCACATCAAGGTGACTTTTACTGTAACCCGCCTCTTTGATGCTGTTGCATTTTATGAACTCTGACTACATTGTGACCATCTGATGTGGCCTGTAGTGGATGTGTGTGTGGCTGGTCAGGGCGTCTGTCTTCTCCATCCCTCCACCCTTTTGTTGGACTTCTTTAATCAGCAGCAGAAGAAAGCTATATTTTGGCCTGTCTGTCAACGGTGTCCAGCCCCCGACGCCACTACAGCAGTGGCCCACGCTTTCCCCCCATCCGATGCAACCGCCAGATAAAAACCCTACAAATCAGGCGGAAAAGCAACATCCACTCTACTCCTTCATGTCCTCAACACCCACCCACCTCCTTTCTTCCATCCCTTTTTTCATGCCTATTCATTTCCTTGTCTCATTTTTCTGAAGTCAGTTCAAGAAAAGCCCAGCTCTGATTAATTTCTCCCTCTTGATTTTTGTTTGCATTTCTTGTTTTGTTTCGTTGGAAGTCTTAATTAAGCTTATTTAGTTTGGGTTTTGTTTTCCACTGCGTTTCCTTAAACTAAAAGGAAAAGAACTGAAATGTCGCTGTGGCATTAGTGGCACATCTGGGGACTGGCTATGTTCTGAGGAAGTAAAAAAAACAAGCCATATACAAGGTGTGTGTGAGGGAGATTAATGTAGGAAGAAAGAGGAGTTTCTTTAATGTGATTAATGTCTAAACAAACCCAGACTGATGCTGCCACAAGTTAAATCAATGGTATGATTCAGAGGTCCAAAATACATCTAAGAATTTCATTTAAAGCTCTTGTGAGGAGTTTTTAGCTGCTTATGAAAATAACTGAAAATAAGAGTCATACAACTTTATGAGCCACAAAGTAAACCAGACTTATCAGGAAGAAGATTTGATTATTCTTTTCATATTATTTAATGATTTAAATCACTGCTGTTGTCAGAGGAGGAGATTAACAGAACGCTGCCGAAACAGCCTCTTTTTTTTTTTTCCAAGAAAAAATCATTTGTGAGTTGCGTGCAAACATTCAACACAACGACTGATCACATTTTTGTCATTAAAAACTGCAGTGATCAACAGTCTTGTTCCTGAAGTTAAAATCCCATTCCTTTTCTCCATGGTGGATTTGATTATTAGCCATTTACCATCCAAGCTACACTTTCCACGAGCTACCTGAGTGTGAAACGATGGTTTATGCTCCTGTAGAAGACACAAGGTTGCATGATATCAACCTCGTTTTAAGAAAAACATGCTGCATTAAAAAATCTGGGAAGTAAACTACACTACCAGCGATCATGGAGTGTCACAGCGAAGTCTCTGGTGGCGCTGGCTGTCACAATGGCAATGTTTCCCGCCCCTCTGCGCTGTATGGATAGTTTCTCCAGGCCAAAAATGATGTCCTACAGTCTTGTACCTTTGCCCTATTCTACGTTTTTCAATGCCGTTTTGGAGCTGAATCAAATGACCTATAGTCATGAGTATAGGGGTAGCAGGTTGTCTTTGTTCCAGACTTTAATCACTTGATATAAGGATTTTATGAAATGTCAATGGAGGATATAATGGGGAAATGTACTTCTGGAACCAGAGCCACTGAAAAAGGGGGCAGTCACTGTTGAGCTCTATACTTAACGCATTACAGGATAAGATCAGCAAAGAGATAAGTGATTTACCCTTCATCCACAGAGGGCGCTAAAAGTGACATTACCCAAAAGTTCCTCATAGCAGCTTTAAAGTCATTATTCACTTTTTGCACAAGAAGCTAGATTTGATTTTTCTGTTTTATTCATTGTACATCCACAGCTTCACACAATCTTACATATTAATCAATCAATCCATCTTTGTATAACTCCCACTCACAAGAAATATTATCTCAAGACACTTAACAAAAAGAGTAGGTCCAACATTTATCCTTTGTTTCATACATTTAACTTTAGATTAAGTTGGAGAAAAACACTGGGACAGCACCTCTCCCGACAGCAAAGAATAAGGGACGATAGCAGTGCAATCAAAGTGTCCCAGCAGTCCCATTGGGTAACACACTCCATTGGAGTGGTTGTCAGGCGTATCGGGGGACAGGCAGCTTGTAATGGGATGAGATAGGTTATCTTTATTGTCAAAACATACGAATGAAGGGGGGAAAAAGACGCAGATTAGCTTTCCTGACAGTCGGCCGTTTGAAGTTTGTGCCAGAGTGCATTAGGGGCTGTTATTCCCTCGTTTGTAAGCCTGCAAAGACAGAAGCACTCACAGGAAAAGGCGAGACTTGCTCGCTAATCAACTGATAATGGGTCATACTGTCCGTTTGCCATAGATGCCCGACGTCCTGCTTGCACACTCACGGCACACTTGCTTCACACAGTTGACTGGCACAGGCCTTTGAATTGGGTAACTCTGGGTAAATAAATGGCATGGACCCTGTAAGAACACCACTCTTTTTTTTAAACTGAATAGTTAAATTTTAATTACCCAACCAATGTAACCTATAGAGTATGTTATCTTTTTGGGTCATGTCAACACAACGATGTATAGCATCATACCTGACCTTTGAACTACTTGTCTGAGGCCAGGAAGTTCCACCCTTCTCAGTCTATTGTCAAATTCAGTGCAGCATCGCCTCAACCTCAGCTCACTTGTGTTCTTTTCAGAGGCCAAATCAAGACTAAGCAACAAAAACCTGGACTTTATTTTCATATTTGATATCGCTGTGTGTCTTACAACCCAAGTTATCACGAGTCATGACACGAGATAACTTTTCCTTCTACTTCTTTTAAGATATTTTCTTCAAACGTATAGCAAGCACCAATAGAAAGTTACACAATACATAAGCCAAGAATCATCTAGAGTGTGCAACCACATCAACATGCACCACCCTGCTTCTTCCTGCACTGATAACATGCTGAGAGACAGTGGAATGAGCGGCAAAGCGGTGGGCAGCAAGAAAGAGCGTGTGTGTGTGTGCGTGTGTGTGTGTGTGCGTGTGTGTGTGCGTGTGCGTGTGTGTGCGTGTGTGTGTGTGTGTGTGTGTGTGTTTTGGGAGAGGAGAGGGAGGTAGTTAGGTGTCAGCTCCTTGACTTTCCTTTTCCCTCCACCAACCCTTCTAACGGCCTCCATCGGAGGAAGTGGATCTAGCAAATTGTTGATTCAGCTCCATAAGACAAGAGCAACACTTGAAAAGCCAAAGTTGCAATTTCTCTTTTATCGTTAAAGAAAGAGAGGGAGCTTGCAATTCTATTTTCATTCTCCTCAAGAAGTCACTGACGATTTCCACAGAAGAAGTTCACAGGGATATTTGACCATCGGCCCAGGTGCAAAGCGTCCATTCGTTAGGAACAAAGCAGTGTACACTAACCCAGGCAGGAAAGATCTCGTCTTCTATGCTTTGGTTTTGCAGGAAACCAAACCATTCACCCGGCCATGTACTCCCATCCTGAACTGTGGGAGTTAAACTCTGAGAGCCAGAAGGAGGCAGGGGGAGGCCCGAGTTTGGGGCCACCAAAATAAAAACCAATAATAATGACTTTATTTCCATCTGCAACTCGCAGATGTTTGCTTCCTTCCTTTCCCTTTCATGTCAGATAGAAATCTCTTCTCCTGCACGGATTTGAAGAGAGACGTCGGTGTGGGTAATTGTAGATATGAAAGTGTTTGTTGCCTTTTTTTTTTTTTTTTTGATTGAGTCATTCCCTGCATTTGTCCTGAAGCTTGATATCTCTCATCTGTATTGCTCGAGCCATACTCTAGCTTTCGTCCATGTTTTTCATAAGGACAGGAAGATGCAGCTTCGCCTTGCCACCCCTCCCTACAACATCCTGGGATCTCTTCTGGAAACTTCCTTTGAAAGGATGCCTTTCCATGGTCACTGTGGAGCTCGAGTGACCTTTGCTTTACACAGTCGAAAAATGTAAATGTTGTTTATGAATTTCCCTTTTATTTCATTTTTAAATCAAAGGGAACTTTTAGCTGTCATCTGTCATCTTATTTGTTATTCAGCAGCATCTTTGGAATGCAATCACTTGAAAACAAGATGTGTTTTGACTTGAACAATTTATTCAACATAGAGAAAGTTTTGTGCACCTCAGCTGTCATTGTGATTGATTGATTGATTGATTATATTTACATCAGAGAGGGTGGCCATGATGCATCCAGTCCTCAACTCTACCAGGATGGTGACACTTTTAACCTTTAACCCCTCATTAGTGTACGCTTCCTTGTGTGATTACAGATGTCAGACCGCAGAGACACAGTGATGATTTTCATTCCTGCATTATCTGACACATTTTATGACTCTCCCAGCTATTGTTCTAAGATGGATAAAAATATGTTGATATCGCCATGGGTGTTTCCAGTGGAGAGGTCTTGGGTGCAAAGGGTTCAGGGGGGTTCAAGCTGGCTCCTGAATCACAGGAAGACACCACTGTAAGTCACAGTCAGAGGGGGTCAAGGCTGGATGATGTGTTCCCTCTAAGACCCTCACCTTCAGCTGTGTCTATTAATGGCATTAGAGATGAGTCATTTTAGTTTGCTGTCCACTTTGGTGGGTGGGATAAGCAAGCAGTAATAAGAGCATGTTGAGTTTCTGCTTGTATAGGCCTAGTTTTCTAGTTGAAGTGCATGTCATGTGCCTTAAAAGTTTCAGAAAATGTAGGATGACTTGCAAAATGCCACTGATTTAACTTGAAGTTTAAAGTGGGGAAAAAAAAATGCCCACACTATCAGCATTTATACATTTCATCATTTCATATAAAGGGTGGTGTAGGGTATGAGTGTGTATGTGTGGGGATGGGGAGGGGAGGGGGGTGTCATTGTGTTAACATTAGAAGGCTAATCATATGTCCTTTGTCAGGTTGAATTGGAGGCGTGTGCTGTCGCAGTGGGAGCGCGCAGAGGAAGGGAGGGCAATCTTGTCCGGACGCTAATAAGACCCAATGGCTGGTGCAAGGTGGCCAGGAGCTCTGAAACGCGACAGAGGACTGTGGAAGAAGGAGAAGGGAAGGGAGAAAAAAAAAAAAAAAAGACTCCAGAGAGACTTTGGTGGATGGACAAAGAGGATGAGAGCGCCACAGTAGCGTCTGTGCGAAGTGTCTGTTTGGCTTTTGGTGTTTGTCGTTGAAGGAAATGCGTGGAGAGAGACGCGGTAAGTGACTGGAAAAACCACGGGAAACACCTGCGTCAATGCTGGTACCTGCGAAGGATGTGTAAAGATGAATTGCGGTCACCAGGAGGCTTAAAAGCAGCTGAAAATTGGGGGAAATTCTTGGACAAAGACCTTATGTCTGTAGCTAATTGTTATTTTTTTTTTTAACAGCAAATGCCAAATTATGCTATAGCATTTTGCAGCTAATCAGATCTTGAATTGGGCTAACTTTTGATCATGGCAACAATCACAACATTACAAACTCAGAGTAAGACCAACTTTTGAAATACTGTTAAGCTATTTTCTTATTTAATGGTTAAAAAAAGTCCAAACAAAACAAAGTTTTTGCATTTCAATATTATATCTAAAACAACATGATTTAGAGTTGACCTTTTTGACCCTAATTCACCTGCTTCTATCACACACCTGGATCTGCAGGCACCCTGAGCCACTGACCCTTGGGAACTCCAACCCTGTTCCCACCCAATGAAGCAGTCCTGGTGGGCCCACCTGGCACAGCTCGGCCTGCTCGCTGTGTGGACCTGCATATGGCTGGTCCAGGGATGCGGGCCGGGCCCGGGGTACGGCGTCCGGCCCAGGTCAAGGAAGCTCACAGCCATGCACTACAAGCAGTTCTTCCCCAACTTCTCTGAAAACAACCTAGGTGCCAGCGGGAGAGCAGAGGGCAAGATCACACGAAACTCCGAGCGCTTCAATGAGCTTGTGTGCAACTACAATCCAGACATTGTGTTCAAGGATGAGGAGAACACCAACGCAGACCGCTTCATGACCAAGGTGAGACATATATGTCTTCAGGATTTAGTCAAATGGGATCACAACTTTGTGAAATTGGCTGACATGTTGGAGAGGGCGATTCACACAGACAGATGCTCTAACTTGTCTTTTTGGACAAGCCAATCTCTCTAATGGATGATTGATTTACTGCAGTCACATGAAGTAGGCAGACCACAGTTCACAGCTCATACCCTGCCACCCAGCATGGCACCTTCAAATCAACTCATATTACATCATTCATTGTTATCCCCCGTACTACACTGCCTGCCCTTACCAGGCTCTTAACACACAAACAAGTGTTCAACACAGAGTGTGTACGTTTTAACTAAACTTCCCCTCCCTTTTTTTTTTGAGATAAGAAGATCGGGATGAAATTCAACACTAGCCCTTTAAAGAATGTGCTCCCCTTCAGGAACACTTCCTTTTAATCTTTAACCAAAGTCTTTGTTATTGCAAATAAATCTATTCCCTGTGACAGGTTCTTAGAGTGCCTGCAAGAAGAAATGCCCAGGCGCTTACACTTCAGTTTATGATGTTTAACAGGCAATGCATCCAAATTTACATCTCAATCCTAAAAGATGCTCCGTGGCTTAGAAGGCGTCTGCTGAATGTGCCATTTCAGGACACTCTGTCATACTCATTCGAATGCTGTGTTGTTTTTTTTTGATTGTTTAGGATATGGACCTGTGTTCCTTCCTCTCCCAGAATGATTGTTCATGATTCAAAATCTGTGGTTGTACATGTGTGCCCCTACCGATGCCCAGTTTTGAGTGTGTATGTGTGCATGTGCCCCTCTTTTGCCCAGATGTGAAAGACGCTCTTTGTGTGTCATTTGGAAACTCGGAGGGGTCGCCTATACAAAATTCCCGCCTGCTGAAGTAATGGCACCGTCGGAAAAGCGACTATTGTAGTTCCGACAATGAAACGCCTCTCTTCAATGGCATTGCGAGAAAAAAATGTAGCCAGTTTGTTTTCTGTCCCTCTCTCTTTCTCACTCTTGCTGTCACATTCCCAAGTCCGTGCCCATACATTCTTCCCCTCTGCCCTGCGTCTTTTGTCCCAACCTCAGTCCTGCACTACTCTGCTTTCTCCTCACCCAACCTCCATCACTCATTACTTTCCCTCAAATCAGTTTAAGCTAAAAGAGAATATGCATGCAGGAGTGGACAATGAGTTAATTACCTCGACTGTTGACGTCCTTGTTTTCCAGCCTGTTATTTTGTGACAATGCTGACACCCTAACATCACAGCCCACGTGGATGTTAGGAGTCACTGTTCACATTTCTGATCAAATGTCTCAGGGGTGAAATAGACACTCATAACTGGAACGAACTGGAAAGTCAGAGAATGGCCTTGATTATTCTGTCACCCTGTCAGAGGAATGTGCCAAACTGGCTACAGTAGCTTTGTTCTTGTACTCTGATTGTCCTAGAAGGTTGGGATGGCATTTAAGCACAGTCGAGGAGGAATTGTGTGGTAATGTCAGCAGACAAACAAACCTGGAAGACAGACGGTGCGGAAACTCTGGAACCTTTTTTTTTTTTTCTCCTGAGTTGCACTTAAATCATGCTGTGCATTGATGTGTACAGTAGGCTCACATACTCTACATGCCTTTGAGACACTTAGGCTTAACAGTTACACGAGTTAATAAATGACAATTGAAGCTTAAAAGCTAAAAAGTTCATATAAAAGTCCTGGTTAGCCAGATATGTTTTGGTGTATATATATGATGAAGCTATGAGCGAAACATGTTTGAAAATGAAGTATGAATAAAAAGAAGAAGCAATTCAGCCTTCTCGTGTGCGGTGAATCCAATTCTTTTCTATTGAGCTGACGCTTCCTTCACTCACCTGCACCAAGTCAGAAAAACTGTGCTGTGCACATGGCATCTACTTTTACAGATATATACATCTTTTCTTTTTATTTAAATGTCAACCTGGATGTCCTGTACAAACAAATTTTACTATTAGAACAAGGAAGAGGATGATACCAAAGAGAAAAAAATCACTTTACGCTACAGCCCTGATGACAATACATTTTTGAAGCTGATACCAAATCTTGATAACTGGGAGTATAAAATATTGTAATAAAATATTGATTTCAAAAATAGATTAATTACAAAAAATGATGTGAATGTTTTAAATTTGGTTGAAGATAAATGTTACCCTGGTATGTCGAGTGTGGGAGAGACAGACACAGACACCAAATGACCCCAGCAGACACTTTGTGTTTCTGCACTGCTTATTCTTCTTTCCAATTGGCTGAAAAATCTGCTGATAAGGACAAATATGTGATAAGTCAACTTTCCCAAATATGTTGATTGTCATGAGTTGAAAGTGTCTTACACTTCATTTCCTTCCTTCCCTCTGTTTTATTCTCTTCCCAGCGCTGCAAGGACTGTTTGAACAGGCTGGCGATTGCAGTGATGAACCAATGGCCTGGGGTTCACCTTCGTGTGACGGAGGCCTGGGACGAGGATGGTCACCACCCCGCTGGCTCTCTGCACTATGAAGGCCGGGCAGTCGATATAACCACAGACGACCGAGAGACGGAAAAATATGGTCTTTTAGCCCAGCTGGCTGTGGAGGCGGGCTTTGACTGGGTCCACTATGAGTCTAAATATCACATCCACTGCTCAGTAAAAGCTGGTGAGTGTAAGGAGGAAGCTCAAATAGTTCCCAAAGCAGTTAACGTAGTGAAATGAAATGGATTCAGTGTGAAGTAGAATTCTCCAAACATGGTATCGGTATTGGAAAGTATGCCAGTCACCGCAGCTATCAAACACCATAAACATCTCCTTAAAATGGTTAAATGGTTTCATAAAAAATTTTCATACTATACTTGTTTGTTATGGATATAATTATGTTGTCCATAACAGACAAGTATAGTACAGTGATACTAGAGAAAAAAGTGTATATTTTTTTCTCCAACATTACGTATATTTTACTTTATCCCACTTGTATCTAAGGGTACTTGGTCTGAAAAATCTACTGTAGGTGTCGGAATCAGTATCACAAAATATATTTTTTTTTATTGGATCGTTAACAATGTAAAGAGTTACCAAAGGAACGTTATCTTTTTTTCATTATGTAATCTTGTCTTGTCTGTCTTTTCTTTTCCTCTTCCTGCAGATCACTCTGTTGCAGTGGAAAAAGGTGGCTGTTTCCCCGGCTGGGCCAGGGTGACTGTGGCTGGAGGGGTGCAGAAGAGCCTGTCCTCACTGGCACCTGGGGACAGAGTCATGGCCCTATCTGGGACAGGCCATGTGGTGTTTAGCCAAGTCCTCCTGTTTTTGCACCGGGACCAAAAGAGCTGGTCCACTTTCCTGTCTCTGGAGACAGAAGACAGGCAGAGGCTGACGCTCACTTCACACCATTTGGTCTTTTTAAGCCCAAATTGCCGACTGGACAGGGATGAGTACCAGGCTCAGTTTGCTAGCAGAGCCAAAACAGGAGGCTGTGTTCTCATCCACACAGCAGAGGGTCAAGTATGTCCATCTCGAATCATCTCGGTGTCAGAAGTGGAGAGTGTGGGAGTATATGCACCCTTGACAGAAGCTGGGACTCTGTTTGTTGACGGGGTGCTGGCATCCAGTTATGCACTGGTAGAGGACCACAGACTTGCACACTGGGCATTTGGACCTGTGCGACTCCTCTCATCATTTAAACAGCTCGTTTTGGGGGACACAGCACATACACAGCAAAGCACAGACAGTGAAGCAGCTAACCTTAAGACGTCATTGCATTGTAGCACTTCAGTCACAAAGGACAGAGCAGATAGTTTTATGAATAATGACATTCTTAACAAACGAGACAACCTGAGTCAACCTCTGAGGATGGAAATAAAGGAGAAGCACTCTTTACAAAGAACATCAAATGTGCACTGGTATGCTAGAATACTGTACAGTTTAGGATGCATCTTTTTCGACTCACTTCGTCCTTAAAAGTCTATAACCATGGATTTTCATGTTGCACTGATAAATGTTACTAGTTTGATACACTAGCGCTGTTCTTTTTTTTTAATAAATTAAAAGAACTGAAGAAGCTTGCTTCCAATTTCATTGTTGTTTGCATTATAATGTAGCATACTGACTTACATGCTAATACTGATGTCATGTTTTATGAGGCTGAGTTTTATAAACAAAACTGTAGTAGTAGAAAAGAGTTACATAGCGTATATGTACAGCATATTTCTTATAATTATTTTGGTTATATATGTGGAAAATTGTATTCTACTGGGATAGAAATTAATTTTCCAACCACAGAATTTTTATTTTTGTACCTTTTTGAATCATAATATATAACTGTTGCATTTAACCATTCCACTACATGTATTGATTTGTCCTTGTGTAATAAAACAGTTTAAAATGTCAATTGAATAAGCTGCTTTGTTCTTCAACTCCAGGACATTACTTGACTCTTAAACTGGTTTGTCTTTTCAGTTTTTTTTTTTTTTTGTGTGGAAAAATTTGAGACGTACACAAAAAGGTCAGACCTGGGGGTAGAGATATGTACATTGCTATGTTCAAGGCCTGCCGGGTTAATGAAAAGCCCAGACGTACTTAATATTCCCCTCACTGTGCCACTTCGACTTCAGCACTGACAGACTTCAACAGATTGTTTCCTGGAGGGCATGTATCTTAAAAAGACAGTTTTGATGATATCCATTGAACATTTCTGGTCAGAAGTACCTGTTCATTGTCTCCACAGCGTTCAGACTCATTCAATCCTTCCGCGGTTTGTCTACTTGTACATACATTTTTATAGATGCGTTTAAAGTGCAGTTAAACAGACACAATTGAACCTTTCTTCAATATGTATTGAAATGTAAATTCAAAGGTTTTAAATAGTATGAAGCTGTATCACAACATGAAGAGGTTATACACCCCCCTTGTGGAAGAACTGATTTAATGCCTGTGAAATACATGTTACTGTATGTGTTGTCCATACAAATCTAAACTATAATAAAATGTAATTTAATCATCTTCAATTGTATATGTAAATTGATACTTTATTTGTAAACTTCTGTGTACATTGACGTGTTTTTCATTGATATCTTTGCCGAGGAATGCGATTGGAAAAAACAAAATAGCAAATATTTGAATTTTGTTCTTCCATTTAAGTAATCAGAGTAATGAACAGACACAATTTTCTTAAAACCCCCCCCACAAACAGACCAAATGTGTCCCTCTAAAAGTAGCCCCAAGTATTTATGTTCTGTTGTAAACATCTGTGGAGGTATTGTAGGGGATTATCCTTCAGTTACAGGAGGCAGATGGGAAAGCAACCCCACTGCTGACTGACCAATAGGAGAAGCAAGTAATCCTAATACCACCCTCTATTTACATCCATGAGCCAATCACACACTGTCCTCCAAACAGTCCCCGGCCCCTCCGAAATCTAATCCAATCTTGCTAAAGCTGAATGGGGAGTTAACTAATCCTGTCAGTGGGACCAGTAACAACCTATTTTCCAAATGAAAAACCTGCACAATGAGGCAGTGAAAAACACGTATTTTGACCAACAATATGCAGAATTAAATCATAGCACTGAAATATGTGTGTCTAAAATCAGGCCAGTGTCATCATCTGGCTCAAACCCTTTTATGACAATATGTAATAAGCCTTGAATGAAAATGTATCAGCGGAGATTTGTCATGTGTTTGCGAGGACAGAAGTGACACAAAATATCCACCAACCTTAAAGGATATCCTGACGTGGCCCCTGAAAAAAAAAGTCCTCCATATTTTCTTTATCAAATGAATAGATATATGAATTCAAATGTGATTCAAATGTTATCTTTTGACTAACACTTTGTAACTTTTTTTCTCCTCTGGTCTCTCCTCAGAGGGGCACGTTTGTATTACCACAGAGGTTTCTCTGTGCAGGGTCAGTTGCAGATCACCCTCCTGCAGCAGGTGGCCGTTTACTACTAATTTAGCTCACACGGCAATTGACATTATCCTTATGTTACTTATAAGAGTTAAGTTATAGCCAAAGTAAGCTACTTACCTAACAGTTGAGTGTTTTGCTCAAGGGCATGAGAGACGATATACAGTATAGCTGGTGTGGATTAAATCTGTGACTGTGATGGTTACCCAACCTCATTTTCCTGAAAGTTCACAGGATCATTTCAGTGACATTCATGCTTAACCACATGTACTGCCTCAGGCTTTTTGTTCACATTGTAACCAGTAAAAAAAAAGCAGGATGACATGATTTAAGATTTACGAAGTACCAAGCAAACAGGTATGAAAAACAAACTGCCTGCTTAGTCGTCTACAGAACCAAAGGAGGCTATTATTTTTTCCCCACCAAAATTTCCTTTTGGACTATGGCATCCTTACAAAGGGAGAGCAACTTCTTCTCTTATGTGTGCAGAAGAAATGATAAATGCAAGGTGTTAAACATGAAGCCAACATGAAATTCTCGGTTATCCAATGATCCAGAAGCAAAATGATAAAGGCCCATCAAAACACCACCTGCCATGGGATCAGTGTTAAAGTCTCTAACAGTAGCCTTTAATTTGATTGTATTTCACCTTAAATAGTATCAGTTTTTATCATCACTTCAATATCCACAAACCTGAATAAGTAAACCATTGACAATGTAAAGCCCTTCACTGCACTGTTGATTGTTATAATGTCATGTCTTCTGAAAGGTTGATCATGTCAATATTATTTGTAGGCTATATATTATTGTAATGGAAGTTATTTGATTAAGAGTAGGCTATTATTCTCATGTCGCCAAATAAAAACCACACAAATAGGCTAGATGCCTGGTATGTAGCATAGGTGGTAAAGTGTCTGGAAAAAATAGGCTACAAAGGGAGCTGACTGAACCGTCTCAAAGCAATAAAAAGTGGCGTAGCAAATTCAGCAGTACTCGACCAGGATTCAGTAGATTTAAGGGCATCTCTCCACAACGTCCCTCACTCGAATTTGCAAAACAATATTGACGAAATCAGCAACAATTAGAAAGTACTGTGTAATATCAGATTGGCGACTGACAAAAACAACAAGGCAACTCGATTACTCTACATAGCCTACATGTCGGAGTAGCTGTGGTCCGACAACCAAAACAATCAAATAAAAATGGCTTCCATGGATCCGAAAATATAATGACTTTATATCTGATATCAACCAGATTTCGGTTGTCCCGAGTTTTGCAGATTAACATCCCATAACTGTATCGTATAATAATCAACCTCACACACACACAAAAAAAATCGTCGTCCAATGCTGCGCTTGATTTTCAAAAAAAACATTTTTTTTTTTACATGCATTCTGCAATAAAACACATCTTCCTTTTTTTTCTGTAGCATTTCTTATTTTTTTTCGACGTAGTTATTAGCTATAGTTAGCACTGCTAGCCACTTGTGTGTGTGTGTGCTGGCGCAGCTCCTCTGTGAAGTGAAGAGCTTGCAAGTGACCCAAAACAAGGCCACTAAATGCAAAGTTGATCTGCAACAATTTAAGGAGAATGATGTTTTGCAGTCGACTCCGGTTGAATTAATCATTTATTTATGTGTCTTGTTGGCAAAGTTTGGTGCTCTAATGAAGGTGCACTACAACTTGCAGTAGGTTTTCATGACCTCTCGATGAGATTCCAGCACAGAGGCTATAGTAACATTTAGGTTATTAGCCGATAAGCTAAATCCACCGGATAGTCACTGGGCTCGCTGCATGAACCCGGGGATCCTTGTTGAAGACTTGTCTCGGTGCTTCGGTAGTTCCCCTGCAGCTCACTGTCCCTCGATACAAACTCTACTCGATTGAGTACAGTCAAGTTGCATAGCTTTATCCAAACTAGTTCAGCAGCTAGGTAGCACCGCTGTGCAGCCTTGCCTTCCTGCCGACGTGCACTTCCCCCACTCTCCCTCCAGCCGGCTAGCCGCAGCGTTAGTCCGCTACATAAAATGAAGCGACCATCAGCGTTTCGGGAAGCTGTGGGGCTCTTTGGATTTTGCTGATGTACGAGGAGACATCATTGTTTTGTAAAGGTGAGTTGTCCCCTTCTGTGGAGGTTATTGTTTTCAACTTGTTTGGAACAAAAAAACACCTAAAGACACACCAAACCCTGACCTTTAGTTCGGAGGTGGGGGGCGGTGGGGGGTAATGTTAGCTCTGCTTTTCGGCGACACTTTAGCTGTTAGCTTCAGACAGATGGTGGCGTCTACTTGCTGGAGAACTCGCCGTGATACCTGGATTGCTAACTCAGGTTGCAATATGTTCCTCGTTGGTTGTTTTCAAACGTGTGATTCTCGGACTCGCTGGTTGATTGTGTGTCACGTACGTGTGTCAGTGCGTGAGATTGGACTTATTTCTCTTAGTTTCACCACCTTCGGGACACTTTGCTGCTACGTCACCATTGGTAGTTGTTGAGTTTTGCGTATCAGCCCGTCGTCAGTGACATGGACGTGGCTATTTCCTGGAGAGGAACCTCTCCTTTGAAGTCGATGTTTACATTGAGGGATACTGCTTAGCTTTGCAATTGTTCAACTATAAAACTGTAGCGTTTGAATGTAGCACTGCAACAAAAACCTTTTTATTGTGTTAGTTAACACTTTAAAATCACTGTTTACATGGAATATATTTGTATATCTGTGCACATTAACTTGGCTAGCCGGGATGTGGAGACGATAACTTGACCATCATGTCATCACTTTTGTTCAGGACATTTGTCAATACAGTTTCTCATTTAGAGAATGAGCCTTTTAGACATCGATAAAACACGGTGTGCATCTTCGTTTGACTTTGATTTACGGGTTGTTGTGTCGAGAAGAAGAAGAAGCAGCAATGGACTATAACAAGGATGTTACTCAACGTTACACAGATTAAATAATGTTTCTCATCAGCTCCATAAAGTCTCCAATAAACATCTTTTTTCGGTGTGTGTGCAGAGCAGGATATCCTTTAGGTTTTGGTTTTCAGTGCAGGTCAGGTGTGTCTTTTTTTGTGTTTGTTTTGGGAGATTTAGCTTCAGTGTTACAGTTCTACCTTTTTTAAATGGAAGTCAAAACACACCTTAATGGTTTAAAAAAAAAAGAGATGCATACACTTTGATTTTGTATGATAATATGCAACATTTGAGTTTTAATTTGTCATTAATTCGGCTGCTTTATGCGTTTAGAACAACAGATAAGCAACATCGTCCACTGTCAGGGATCTATTTTTATTGCCTCCATGGGACATTTCGAAACGTGTTGTGTTATATCATTATCTTACAAGATGCTTTTTTTTTTTAGGTATGGCAGCAGTTTTTTTTAATTTTATTTTGTTTGCCAACGCTGATATTTCTCTAGAAACAGCAGGATCTATATTTTAAAGTCGTAGTCAGTGATTATTGTATTGTATTTTGAGACCGGCAGCATCGCTTTAAGATACGATTCTCCCGTTGTTTCCAAACATTTTCAACATAATCTAACACATCGAGGTGTTGCTGTCGCCTCTGCTGTTGTGTGCTTAAAGGAGAACACCTTGCAAACCATGACCATTTTAAGCACTTCTGTTGATTAAATGTTAACACACTGGTTAGTACTTCCTATTATATGGTACGTTGATGAAAACATGTTGAGCCCCCCTTCCCCACCCCCCTTCCTCGTCCTGCATTGTTTGTTTTACAATATTCCTGTTAATGGCGTAAATCTCATAGCGGAACTATGATGCGAGCGGCAGAGGTTCTGCACGAAAGGAGCCCCGTTGCAACAGGAAGTTCTACACACGGAAGTTGTGTTTTCTTTGTGTATCCCGATTTGTGGTTGTTTTATTTAAGAAAACATCATTTTGGTTTTAACAGTTTGTGCTCTTTGACGCGGCTGTGTCACCGATTTGGACTATGCATTGCTTGGTAAATAATAACTTGACTTGTAAAGCGGTTTCCGATTGATTAGTCTCCTGTAACCTTTGCGCTTTTCTCATGAGTTTGAGGGATAGCTCGACCGCATTAGTGCTAACCATGGTGCGAATAACCCTTAGACCGTCTAAAGTCAGGGCATAACAGCCTAAATTAATGTGTTGTTTATCATGAGGTTGATTGTAAAAATAGGTTTTAGGCGAGAAGGAATTGTGTTTATTGTGGGGTTACAATAAAAGATGCATTCCTTCTTTTTTTTTTTACAAAGATAAACACACATGTTAGATAATGAGCAATGCCTTGTTATGTGTTGGTGACCTGTATAGAACATAGCTGATAACTTAAATGTAATGCATTTATTTTTTTTTATTTTTTTAAATGCATTTATTGGTTCTTGCTGTAACGAAGAACACTTGGCCATAATCAGTTGAGTAATATGTTTAAAAGTTCTTCCTCAGGATACACTTTAAAATGGATTCTTCATTTGCAGATCTCTGTCAAGGAGGTCAAAATCAGTAAGGGGTATGGACGAGCAGAAATCAAACTGCGAGGAGAATGACTCTGAACCAACAGGTAATATACTTTGCTTCAAATGCTCTCCATGTCCCAGCTTCATTTATTAGAAATGTGAGCTACTCTGCAGATAATGAATATCCCTGTGTGCCTTTTGTCTAAAAAAAAAGGCGTCACAAGCGTGAAACAAAACAGATCTTTTCATTTTCTCACATACTAAATTTGATAATGAAGTATCTTGGAAGCGTTGACAATGGTGGGGCAACAGATGTGATATAGTTATTTCACCACAACAGATCAGTCAAATTTGGCTTGTTGAGGTTTCTTATTCCATTGTGTTATACAGTGTTTTGCTTACAGTAAGGGTTTCTTTTTTTTTTTTTTACCAGCTGATGACAGTGCCCCTTCAAAGCAGCATGTCTCCTCTGAAGAGGAGTCGAAAGCCCTTCCTGCTCCTGACGACATGTCAGGTGCTCCTGCTGCCTCTTCCGATCCACCTATGTAAGTTTTTATTTCGAGAGTAAATCTTATTGTGCCCATTGTTGTGATATTCATCCCAAGGATCTGTTTATTTTTAGCACTTGTACAACTGAATCTCTTTTGTGTTTTTTTTTTCTTCTGGCTTTTTGAATGTGGCAGAGAGAGCATTCGAGCCTGTGCGCTTTGTAACTGTGTGGAAAGGAGTCTGCATGGACAGAGGGAACTGAGACACTTTGGGCCCTCTTCTGAGCAGCAGACCCTCAAGCCATCAACTTCCCCACTGCCACAGCCTGGGAATGATGATCTGTCTTCCATTGGATTTTCTCACTCACCATGTTTGGCAGCACTCTTTAATGACTCAGGTTAAATTCAGATCATTGCATTATTATATTTTGTCAGTGTACAGTTTTTGGTAAACATAAAATGTTTTATTGTTGGTCAGTATTTTTTCTAATATTTGTTTTTTTCAATCAACAGAGGGTTGTTGGGTTCATCACTGGTGTGCAGCATGGTCGGAGGGAGTGAAACAATTGGAAAATGAGGAGCTGGAGAACGTGGATAAGGCCGTTATCTCAGGGACACAGCAGGTAATTTCACTGTCTTTATACCTCGATTTTATGTTCTATATGGAGGGAAAATAAGAGTTCCTTCAAAAAATCGTACTTGGTTTTGTTTCAGCTTTGCGATTACTGCAAAAGACTGGGTGCAACCATTCCATGCCATGCTGAGGGCTGCTCACGGTTCTACCACTTCCCCTGCTCAGCAGCCAGTGGATCCTTCCAGTCCATGAAGCAGTTGGTCCTCCTCTGTCCAGAGCACATAGAAAAGGCAGAGGAGTTGGGTAAGAAATCTGAACATCTCTCTCAGCTTTTTTTCTGTTATTACGAAGGCAGTGCTCATGTTGTGTGGTGTCGAAGCTTTTGAACAATATGCACATGTCACACAATGTCAGCTTGCTGCTCATCTTCAAATATAAAAGATCACTGGTTATCGGCCATATTTTGACTGCATGCTTTTTTTCCCAAACAAAACATGGCCTACTACCGAGCTGTCTACCCTTTGTAAATTCCCTACGTACATGAGGAACTAAGATAAACTCTGCTTTGTTTGTTTCTCATATCAAATCCTATGTAATGTTTTTTTATTACAGCAGGCGAAGAGTCCTGGTGTGCAGTGTGTGACTCTGCAGGGGAGCTTACAGACTTGCTGTTCTGTACGGGTTGTGGCCTACATTATCATGCGGCCTGTCTGGAGATTGGTGCCACGCCCATCCAACGGGCGGGGTGGCAGTGTCCAGAGTGTAAAGTGTGCCAGACTTGCAGGTGAGTCCATCTTCTTGGGTATAACTGGATCCTTTTGAGGTCAATTTTTTTCATTTGTGTTATTTAGGGATGCAACAATACAGTCAGCCCACGGTTCAATACGTACCTCGGTTTTTTGGTCACGGTTCGGTTCGGTTCTGACGGGCCGGGCCGTTAAAATGCTTCCAGTGTTAAGTGTTTTAGGCAAATCTTGCAGAACATCAAGAGATTTAGAAAGAGAGCTACTTTTTTTCATTTTAAAACTATTTATTTTACTTTGAAGCAAAACAAATTCAGGTGCTCTCCTTTCAGCCTATTGCAAAGGTCAGATTAGATTTGAACATGAAGTAAACTACAATTAGCTCAATGAATGTCAACAAAAAAGTGCATTGGTGGCATACTGTCATATTTCTCTTTTAGTTACGATTATCACTCCTCTCTTATTCTTGTAATGTTCAGTATTGTAAATATTTTGAGTATCAACAGCAGCTCAAACGATTTAAGAACACTTCAAAAGACATCAAACCTCACACTGAAGGTTCAGACGTGTTTTATGACCAGTTTAGAGTTTTTAGTAAGAGCAGTGAGGGTGATACGCAGACGCACAGACAGAGGAGCACTCAGTTGATGTTGAAAGACATCAGTTAGTTAACAGACAGCAGCCTGCCATGTCGTTCACATACTTCACTGGTTAACATGTAAACCGTAGAGCAGATGATCAATTTCACTTTTTGTTTCTTGTCCGTCCACTGCTATGCGTAATGGCACTTGCCCCGACTCTCGCTCACCCGTATAGCTCTCTCTCCCTCTCACGATCGCAGACCCACAGTTATCTTTTAATGCATTTTTTTGACATAATGAGGAGAGAGGCTTTCAGAAAAAGGGCGTTTGTGGCCGCTAATATACCTGGACGAGTGGGAAACACTGCGCAGTGCATGTTTTCCAGGCGCACACGCTCGCTCCACACTATCAGAAACTGGTCTATAGTGTAACGGTACTTGAGCCATGACTGCAGCCTGTATGATCTATAAACTGTCACTGTACCGGCCCTGGCGGCCCTTCAGGCAGCCCGGCCCACCGGGAATTGTCCCGGTTCTCCCGATTAGCCACTCCGGGCCTGGCTGCTCCTCACTGCTCGCTGTGCTTAAAGTCATGTTGTTGCCAGCGTCGCCAAACTTTAGCGTGTGGTGATTGGCTATTAACTCACTTGGCGATCGGGGTTTCCTCATCCCTGCACACTGACTCACAGGCACACACAGACACACAGAGCCAATTTAGAGAGAAGTGCAATGCCCGGAAACTAGTTAAACGCCAAACCGTTAAAACCGCAATTCACAAGTCAGTATTGAACCGTGGATGCCGTACCGAACGGTTCAATATTTTATTGAGAATTGTTGCATGCCTAGTGTTATTGTAGTTTAGGTCTTTCTCTTCTAATATACAAAGCACTGATGTATAAATGGCCTGAATCTTCATTTTTTCAGACAACCAGGAGAAGACTCCAAAATGCTTGTTTGCGATGCCTGTGATAAGGGCTACCACACCTTCTGTCTCCAGCCTGCTATGGATTCTCTTCCCTCCGACTTATGGAAATGCAGAGTAAGGCCAAATTTACACCTTGAATTTAAGACCAATTTGTGTAGTGGTGCTTATTCACATATGAAGCAGGCATGCTAATGCAAAGTGTGAACACTCTTACTCAAGCGTTGTCCCCTTGTGATCAGATCTCTGAAACCACATGTTGATGCCAGGTGTTAGCAAGATCCAAGTCACATTTGTATTTCAAGACAGTGGAAAGAGATGACTTTCTCTCTGCAACCTAGTTTTAAAGCTTGCTCTTAAAACGGAATCATCTTGTTTGAAATGTATATTTACCACAATATTTGAAAATAATATTTGTTTACTTCTTCAGTTGATCTGTTTAACCTGTCATCTTCCTCACTGATATTTTTTCAGAGGTGTCGTGTCTGTATGGAGTGTGGTGTTCGAGGACTGGGGCTGCCAGGTTCGGCCCAGTGGTTTGATAATTATGCCGTGTGTGAGGGCTGCCAGCGTCACCGCAGCACTATGTGCAGCGTCTGCAGCAAAGCAGCCAACCCATCTGTCACTCTGCAGTGCTGCAGCATTTGTCACAGGTTAGTTTAATGCACACATTGTTATGCTTTTATTAATGTAGTTATCATGTGGGCTTGAAATTCAAATTTATTGGATGTTTTATTTCACTGTCTTAGGTGGATGCACAGTGAGTGTGCTTTACCAGGGGAACTTCCAGAAGCAAAGTGCATTTGCCTGCTTTGCAAGGAGTACCAGCAGCAGCAGCAGCCAATCACTCAACCACACACAGCAGTGAAACAAACCCGAGAGGCGCCTGAAGAGACCGTTGGGCATGTGGATATGACAATCCAAAGTGATGCAGACATGGTGACAGAAGAGCACACAGACTTATCACTCACAGAGGGACAGAGAAGCACGTCGGAGCTGGACCCAGGTGAAGCAGAGACTGACAAAGAGTCACCTATGGACTTGGGTAAGTACAAGTTTAACATTACATATAAAGCACACAAGACATTTTTTGGAACATTAAAACAATGTAACTTTTTTTATTTCTATATACATTTTTTTTTATATATTCATAAGTTTAATTTGTTTTGATCTCAGGGGCGGAGTCTGAACCTGTTGAGACAAGAGATGATGGGACGAAAATCGCGCAGGAAGAGCTGAAGTCAGCAACTGAAGAATTAACTTCTGAGGTGCTCAATGCTGCACATGAGTCTAAAGGTAAACTCAGGATACACTATATTTATACATACTTAAAAATGAATACAAAGCAGCACTTGATTTGTATGGGGATGTGCTGTAACTAATGATAGCTTTGAAGACGCTGGCACTATTAAAAACGCATTCCTTAATCTCAAATGTAGAACCTGCAACAGCAAAACAGGGGGCCTCTTGTCTACCTGCTGATGAAGAGAGAGCAGAAGACACAGCAAGCCGTATGTCCCAGACAACTCCTTCCCAGGAGTTTTCAGGAGAGATACTCTCTAACGACCATAAAGGAGAGCAAACATCTGTGTCACACCAAGGCCCTGAAAGTATGAAGGTGGAGAAAGAAGAAGAGGAGGAGAAGCAGGAGGCCACTCCCTCAGCCGAGCAAGATGTATCACCTGAGTTCTTAAAAAGTGGCTCTGATGGCATGTCTGATGATCCACCAAAGTTACCAGCTTCTCCTGCCTCTGTGGACGAAACGGAGGATTTGCCAATGTCTAACCAGCAGGAAAGAAGTCCGTGCCCAAACCCCCTGTCCCCTTCTCCTCTTTCTTTATCAGTAGATACTCGAGAGGCCCTCACTGCTGTAGACATGGAGGGGAGGTCACTACCTCACTCTGAGGAAGAGGATGAGGATGACGAGGATGATGAGCTGATGAAAGAAGGACATAATGACGACATAAAGCAGGAACTTCTTGAGCACGACGTGAAGCCTGAACTGCTGCTGGACGAAATGTCCAATATGAGCCATGGAGATGAGAGCAGCAGTGGCTTTTTGGGCTCTCCAGGAGAACCTGATCCTCAGCTCTCCATGGAATTTGGCCTTGTTCCTGCTGGCCACTCACACACAGACAACCTGCTTACTGAGACCGATGACTCGCTTCCCTTTGAACCCCTCAGAAGTGACAGAGAAAAGGTGAAGCGAAGAGGATCCCCAGGCCGCTCACGGGTCAAGCAGGTGAGGTCACCATGCATTTGTTTTTTTTTGGGTTTTTTTTGCGAAAATGTGTGAACAGTTAAAACATTTTTACCACAACTATATTCACAAAACAACTTTATACTGAGTTGACCTTTCCTCGAATTGTAGGGGCGAAGCAATAGTTTTCCTGGGAAGCGAAGACCTCGAGGGGGTGGTGGAGGGAGAGGGCGTGGTGGAAGGTCACGCCTTAAAGCCATGGCCTCCTGCATCGATGCATTCTTGGTAAGTTGGATTTTGTTCAGTATTCTGAAAAAAAAACAAATTCTATAATTTCTTCCATTAATGATATAGTCGTATCACTGCTTTTCATGAAATATTTATGCATTATTATTGCTCTTTTCCACAGCTAAGCATGACCACAGACACTGGAATAAGTAAGGAGGAGGAGGAGGAGGAGGATGACACCATGCAGAACACAGTGGTTCTTTTCTCAAACACTGATAAATTTGTCCTTCTCCAGGTACAGTTTTTGTTGGAGTGTGACATTTATAATAATGCTGTGACATTTGCTGTTGGCAGTTGTCACTTCTAAATGCAATCTAACAGATCATTGGTTTCTTCTTATTTTAGGACATGTGTGTTGTATGTGGCAGTTTTGGAAAGGGTACGGAAGGGCAGTTATTGGCTTGTGCTCAGTGTGCCCAGTGTTACCATCCGTACTGTGTGAACAGCAAAGTAAGTGCACGTTAATACTGGTCATCTTTTTTTTTTTTTTTTTTCCTTCCCAGTCTTTTGAAATCCAGAAAACTCTAACCTAATTTCTCCTGTAGATCACCAAGACGATGCTCCGTAAGGGATGGCGATGTTTGGAATGTATTGTTTGTGAAATGTGCGGAAAGGCTTCGGACCCCTCCCGACTGCTGCTGTGTGATGACTGTGATGTCAGCTATCACACTTACTGCTTGGATCCACCCCTGCACAATGTTCCCAAGGGTGGTTGGAAGTGCAAATGGTAAAAAAAAACAAGAAGTTTTAAGAGCACAATGTTTCGTTCAGCCTTGCAGCTTTGAATGGGGTCAAATGAAAATGAGTACATTAAAATTTGCATATTATGTAAAACACTTCTGCCTCAGTCCTGCATTAGTAATTCACAGGCCCAACCCTCCGCCTCTTGCTACCTCAGGCACAGGAACATTTTTACACCACTCTCACTGGCATCTGTGTTTTTTAAATCTTTCATAAAAGCTGTATTTTTGTTGAAGTTAGCTTCACTCTTTGTGTGCAGGTGTGTGTGCTGCGTGCAGTGTGGTTCCAACACACCAGGGTTCCACTGTGAGTGGCAGAACAACTATACCCACTGTGGCCCCTGTGCCAGTCTCGTCACTTGTCCTGTATGCAGGGAAAACTTCATGGAAGAGGAGTTGCTGCTGCAGTGTCAGTACTGTGATAGGTGGGTGCTGCTCATTAGAACTACACACACACACACACACACACCAGACTTAGGTATTCATGAGACTGCAGCTAATGATGACAAGCGGGGAATGGATTATTTATGATTTTTCACGGCATGAATTATTCTATAGCATCTTTTGATTTGCCGTGTGATTTGTGAGGAAAAGTAAGACCAATATATTTCTCGCTGTGTGTGCAGATGGGTCCATGCAGTCTGTGAAAGTCTGTACACAGAAGATGAGGTGGAACAAGCTTCTGATGAGGGCTTTGCATGCACATCCTGCACCCCATATGTTCCAAAACCTGTGGGTAAGTCTCAGAAGAACACAAAGACTGAAGACATGAAGACCTTTGATTTTAAATATAAACACAGCATATTCTTGTATGCACTGATGACATTGTTTTTTGTTGCTTTCTCCCCCCTGCTTTTGCCATTTTTCACAGTAGTAGAGTCAGCCATTATGGCTTCAATAAAGCTCAAAGAACCAGGTTAGTGCGTTTTTAAAAGTTCATTTTTGTACTGAAAAACAAATCTTGTGTGGTTTTATTGTTAGTCAATCATGTATTCTGTTGTCACTTTACAGAACCCCAGTTTTACAGGTTGGAGGGTGTGTGGCTTACAGAATCTGGTATGTCCCTGCTCCGGAGCATCTCCATGTCTCCCCTACACAAGAGGCGGCAGCGTCGCTCCCGTCTCGGCACTCTGTGTTGTGAAGGAGGTCCTGATGGAATGGATCTGAGGGATATCGAAGGAGACGGGGAGGATGGAAAAGGTTGGCTCTCTTTCTACTCATCCATTGGTGTATGACCAGCAACATGATACATGGGGCATATTCATTTCAAATGTTTTGCTAAAGCAGTGTCACTGTATTTGTAGGCTGTGGGGAGCCCATGGAATGTGAACCCAAGATGGAGAACCATGGGAGCCCTTACAGAGAAGCTGGTGCTGAGGGGAATGAAGGGATGGCTGACTGTGACGGTCTCAAAGGAGGGGCAGATGAGACAGAGGATAGCAAAAAGAGAAAGCGAAAACCATACCGACCAGGTAATATACCCTGAATAATAAACAAACACTTGTTACATCCAATTCAAAGCCATAACTAAATATTTTTTAATAAATTGGCAATCTTAGGCATCGGAGGATTCATGGTGCGCCAAAGGAAGTGTCACACACGGATGAAGAAAGAGTTCTTTGCCCAGCTGGCTGGAGAGACTACGTTAGATGGACAGCCAATAGAGAGAACCATTGATGAAGGTGAGTGACAACAGTACAGTAGCGTTAGAATTGTATTTCACACAATGTTTACTTGATTCAACAAATTCAATAATTAGAACATATCAAATGAAGTAGTAGTAATATGCAGGATAATTCCATTTGTTAGTTAGGAAAAATACAGTTGAAACTGTTTTCCAGCTTTTGACAGTTTGAGCCTCTTCTTAGGGTCTCTCGTTCGTATAGTCACACTACCCTTTCATTAAGAGCAAACTGCCTCTTTTATCTGAATAAGGGAAACTTGTGGTGCTGGTAGACTAGCTAATGTAGGGGATTGCCAAAACAAGCAAGGTCATCCAGCAAAGAAGTTGATTTCTTGGTTATCTTTTTCTTTATTAGATACAAAGTCCAGAGTCACATTAGTGGTTTCTATTTCCCTGCTGGGATGAATAAAGTATATCTTATCTTATCTTATCTTATTTCATTATTTTAGGTGGGGCTGTTCTGGTCTCAAGCCATCTCATCATTTTTAAATTATTATTATGCATTACTAGTGGTGCTGTTGCTCAATCTGTTATTTACGTTTTGTAAATTTGTTATACTGAATATTATTGTTATGTGGATAGGACCCCACCCTGACACAGATAACATAATGGATCCTAAACCAGTGGAGGGAGAGGAACAAGCCAAGAAACGTCGTGGCCGGAAGAAGAGCAAACTAGAGGACATGTTTCCAGCTTACCTCCAGGTTTCTAGCCTTCCTTTGCCCCATTATTTATACGTTTGAATCTTTGATGTAGCCATTGAAAATGTCATCATCTTGTGATGTCATCATCTTGTCCACTGCAGGAGGCTTTCTTTGGGAAGACATTAATAGACTTGAGTAAGAAAGTTGGGATGTTACCCCAAGGACAGAGGCCCAGCTCGGGCCTTGTCCGCCCTTCATTACCAGCACCTTCAGGGGTCAACACTACTGCTCCAGAGAGTAAGAACACTAACTTGACCTTTTGATGTTTGAAAACTCAGCAAATTATGTTTAACACAATGTGTGGAAAAAGTGTGTGCAGGGGGGTAAACCTTTTGTGTTTCTCTCAATAGCTGAGGCCAAGGATCGTGTGGTGAAAGTTTTTCCTCTCAAGCAAGAGGGGGGTGAAGCCTTCCAGGCTCAGGGAGAAGGTGCAGGTAAGTGACTGTTTGGACACTAATGCTTCTGGTTATTGTAATGGTTAATTATAATTGTCTTTATTAAAATGCATTTTTAGGAGTTTCTGCACCATCCTCATCGCTGAAGGACCAGCCATCAACTGATACTCTTGACTCTGATGCAGATAAAACTGAAGGTAATCCCTTAAATGAGATATTGGCATATATTGTACGCTGCATTAACTTAAGTTCTGATGTGACCGTCATATATTACATGGTGTTTTCTTTCATAACAGGTCTTCCTCAAGGGGTTGAAAGTCAGGACTCTGAGCAGTTCTTCAGGAAGGTCCTGGGAGTGTCAGACGGCTCCTCTTTGGGTGGCATAAAGCCTATCCTGGAGGGCAGTAAGGGAGAACTCAATCGTAGCGCTCTGCCGCAGAGAGCTCTCCTCTCAGGTCTGTGCTACAGGATGACTGCATAAGATCCTATCACTTTCCCATTTTAAAGTTCAAAAGAAGATATTGTATGTTGTATTATAGGAGATTTCTGAGGATTTGCAAGGTACAAGGAAAGTTTGGCTTTTATTTAAAACATGGAAAAATCCTTTGCAGGGTCCCTGCCCTCAGCTGGAATGATGGATGCCTTTCCTGGCCTTTCTCAGTCACCATTCTTTGACATGCGGTAGGACCAATACTAAATTATCTGGATTTTCTTCAGTTATAACTGTGTCTACTAATGTTCTACCTTGTTGTGGAAGCTGATCATTTTATATAAGTCAATTCCCTCTTGTTTATAGGGACCGAGGAGGACTGTTCAGTCCAGATGGTGGTGAGGAGAGCCCCTGGGCCACTCCCTCAACCCCAGCAACCCCCTCTTCCCCACCAACCCCCACTGAGGCAGAGGGTGATGGGCTTTCCTACAACCAGCGCAGTCTGCAGCGCTGGGAGAAAGATGAAGAGCTTGGGGAACTCTCAACAATTTCCCCTGTGCTTTATGCTAACACCAACTTTCCAACCCTCAAACAGGACTACCCAGGTAAGTGTTGAAAAACATTATGAACGTGTACCACCTATTGTATGACCAAACAGTCAAATTAAGGTGTACTGTATATCACTGTTAGCTATTGAGCAATTATCATAATGTCTCTACTGTCACAGACTGGGCTAGTCGCTGTAAGCAAATCATGAAGATCTGGAGGAAGGTGTCAGCTGCTGACAAGGTTCCATATCTGGTAGGTTACTCTTTGCATGATGCATCTTCAATTATATCATGCTGTATTTCTCACGAACCCATGTTTGTGCCATTCAGAAAAAATTGTATCCTCTTCAAAATGTTGTGGTTTTCAAATCCTAATATTTTATTTATTACTGTAGCAAAAGGCCAAAGATAACCGAGCTGCTCAGAGAATCAATAAGGCACAGAAGGTGAGTTTAAGTATCAGATCAGCATTCTTTTTTGTACTATCAAAGTGAATGGAAGATTAAGTACCTTTCATGTAGGTGCATCATGTTAATGTTTCCTCTGAACTCTTCTCAAAGCAGGCGGAGAGTCAGGTGTGCAGGCCAATCAAAATAGAGGCAGGACGTGTGAAAGGAGAACGGCCCAGCTTACACCTCCAGATCCCTCCTCCTTCAGGCTCTACATCAATCTCTTCCCAGCCCAGCTCTGCAGAGAGCCCCTATCCCTTCCCTCCAGATTCAGGATCATCCTCTGTCTTTTTCTCAGATGGACCTGTTAAGACCCCAGGGTCAGCTGAAATCCGGACAGATCCCTTAGCCAAGCTGCCTCCTCAGTCGCCCCACTCCCACTCCCACTCTCACTCTCACCCAACTACCCCCTACTCCCATGCTGGGGCCAGCCCCTTGCAGGCCTCTTCCTCAGGTTATTCCGCTTCCGGCCCACCGGGTCCTCCTCAGGGACGGCCAGCCAGTCTTGGCCCCTTTGACATGCAACCAGGAACTCCTGGAACCCCCAGACGGGCTCAGCAGGTTGACCCCTATTTCAGATCGCAGCTGCAGCAGCAAAATCAACATCAACATCAACAGAGTCATCTACCACAATCACAGCAGGGCTCTCAGGAGTCCCTAGGACCTCCAGAAAGTCCTCATTCAAGAAATTCTGGGCTTGGGGAATCGCCCATCTTCTCCCCATCTCACAATATACACTATGGAGACCCATTCAGAAACCAGCAAGGGATGGTTCGGCCAGATTATGGTTCATCCCCGTCACCATCTGCAGTGGCTTCCTCACCTGCCAGCACAGGGCAGTTCAGGGCTGATATGAGTGCACCTTCTCCACGCGCCTCCTCAGTTGGAAGACTTGACTTATCCACTGGCTCCCCTGCTGGGATGCTGGAGTCTGGGGATGGTTTATTTAAGGCACCTATGACCCCCCGAATGCACCAAGGGGAGGTGGGGCACTTCATCCTGGAGCTTCCCCTAGCCACCCGTCTGAGGGTTACAGGCAGTCTCCCTCCCACTCTTTCTCTGATCCACATACTCAGCCATCGCTAACTCCAAGACCGCAGTCGGGTGATAATTGTTCCCTTGGACCCCAAAGACACCCAGGAGGTCAACAGGAACTATGCCCTAGGGTGCCCTCCAGCCCACAGTCCCAAGGCAGCTCTCAGTCTCCTCACACTCCTGGTGGCAACTCAAATGATGGTTACTCTGTCCAGTCACCTGCAACCCCCCGTTTCCAATCCCCAGACCCTTGTTCTCAGCCACCTTCAAGGCCACAATCCAGAGATCCCTTTGCTACTATCCCCAAACCTCCTCGCCCCCCTCTGCCGCCCCAGAGGGAACTGCAAGTTACAAAAGCTCACCTCCTAACCAGCAACCTCCACCCCATCCTACCAACACTTCCATTGGGGATCCTCTCTCTGGTAAACCATCCACACCTCCTACTTTCAGCCGCAGTCCCAGCACTGGAGGCTTCCAAATAACCCAACAACAGAGTCAGATTTTACAGGGTCAGCTTCAGCAATCACAGGCACAAACTCAGCAGACTATGGGGGTAGACAGCTTCAGCTCCAGGGCGCCACCTTCCTCTGGATCTCACGAACTGCAAGCTGTGCGTCCTTCAGATACCCCTCATCAGTCATCTTTGCCAGGCACCCAAGAAATTCCTGACATTTCAGCCGGGCAAGATCCTGCTTTGGCAGGCCTTAGCCCTTCTGAAAGACAGGTAACATTAGTAAAAGCCACTGAACAATTATTTACTGTTCCTTAAAGTATGTTGCTGATCAGTGCCTTTGTTTTTCTATTGTTATGTTGTTTTTAGCGCCAGAGACTGAGGGAATTCTTAATAAGACAACAAATGCAAAGAAATTCCATTAGACAAGAGAAGGAGGCTGCTGCGGCTGCTGGCAGTGCATCCCCCGGCTGGGCTGGAGGGGAGATAGGAGCCTTTCAACAAGACAAGGTCCACAGAGCACCACCACCCTATCCACAGGTAGAAACCTTAACAATATTCTACAAACCTTGCAAATGTAAACAGAATGGTTTTTTTTTTTTTTTTTTTTAAATAAAGAAGAGGTTTTCATATGTCAGGGGTACAATCCCAGCAAGTGTCTGCTCTGGTAAAGACCTCATGAACAATGAAAACTGATATATATTATCTTAAGTTAAAGATGCATTATCTTGTCACTGTTTTTCAAAACCTCAAACAAAGGGAAGGAATGGCGGGAGCCCAGCTCCTCCTGTTTATTGTCCACTAAACAATAATACCATTACCTTGTAGGGTAGCACACACACACATTGTGTAGCACACACTGTAGGGCTGCATTGAAAGGGGGATCCTGCAGGTCCTTCAAATGAGTGTGTATTTGAATGAGGCAAATTGTAAATACCTGTGCATATAAGTGATTAGTAAACCTAACTGTTAACATTTTCTTTAAACTAAAAAGAATGGTCCATTTATCTATTCTGGCTGTTTTTACTTCCTCAAGGATCGTGTTGCTGCTACTACTGCTGGAGTTCAGGCTTCAGTAGCAGGGAAGATTCCCATGGCTATTGGGGGTATGGAGGACAAACTCATTCGCCCACCACCTACAGGAACCCCTGCCATAATGGATCCCAGTGCACAAAGGTCAGTAAAGTAACAATTTGTGTTAAACAATGTGGGATAACTGCTTCCATAATTGGACAATTTCCTTTACTAATAAAACAATGGTAACACAAGAACTTCTATGATCTGTATATTTTGGTTAGTTACAGAGCTAGTATATGTTTAGCTGCATACAGATCCAAACACAGGTATTCCTAAATTGTGATTAACATATGTAAAAGTAAAGGCTCCTAGGCAAGTTGAAGTTGTGGTAGCTGCAGATTTAACTATTTCCCAGGTTGATGGTGGCCACAGTCAGTCTATGAAATACAAATATCAGGTCTGGCAAACCATTGTGGAATAAGCTAGTGTGCAAAAGCGCTGTAACTAGGCTCAGCGGCATAGAGACTGAGTGCAAGCACCGATCAGGGCACCTCACCCTGGCTCTGTTCCCCGCCCTTTTTCTGATATATCGCTACAGACTTTTCTGTTGCTCCATTTTTCTCTTCGATCTTTTCAATGTGTAATTTTGGCACCAGGAATAGTTGCATTTTGGTTATGGGGGCCATTAGCGCCCATGTGGGAGGATAGGAAGTATCTGCTTCGTCATTACTTGGAGCTTAAATGTACGTAGCCTGTTTCTGTTGAAGGTGGCAATGCTGTATGGGCTGTCCTGGCCATGTTGTAAAGTAGATAAGAAGATATAGGAGTTTTGCGCAGAACCCGCCTCTCGGAGGCATTGTGGGTCTGTTTGGGCAAAAAAAACAGTGAAGGGAGGTTCCCACTTGAAAACCTAGGTGATGTCTTTTCTCATGCTGCCCATCTGTCTACACGTATAAGATGTGTGGAACAATAGGAACCATGTGTTAGGGTAAGTAGGAGCATTAAGGGCATATTTGGGACAAGGGGTGTCTTCACTGAGCCATTACCCTTTCATGAGGGTTTTGAGTTAATTTTAAATTTAGGACAAATTATTCCAACAAATAACTCATTGACTTGAAAGAAATAATTCCCGTTCAGAATTAGCCCCTCTTCAATCATTTAAAATTTGGTGAAACACTAAATACAATGACATTGAAGTATGTTTTCCTTTTGTGTGTCTGTCCTTCAGGCCGCAAGGGCCTATGCGACCTCAAGGAATGTTTCCTCGTCCACCGTTCCATCAGCAGTGGCAGGCTCATGCTCCAGGTCCACGGAGGTTTCCCCAGCCTGGCATGGAGGCTATTGGCATGAGGCAAAACCTAAACACTGCTGTAAACATACAGGGTATGGAAGGCATGGGTAACCCAAACATGATACAAGGACATGGAGGAGAGACCATGCAGCCAGTATGTCAAGGACCCCCACCTCAGTTCATTGAATTACGACACAACTCACAGAGGCTACCCATACGACACCAGTTCATGCCGCGTGGACCGCAGCCCAGACCGCGGCTTTTTTTGCCACAACAAGAGACAGCACCATATGTTCAACAACATCCAATTGCTCAAACTGAGGGCATTCAAACAGAAGGAGCCAGCAACTCACAGTTGGGGTTACAGCAGGGTGGACTTGCAAATTTATTGCCTCGGCAGTCTTCAGGAACAGTAACACAACAGCCTCATCTGCATCCCCAGACAGCTATTTCAAATCCAAACATTCCTGGCACAGAGCAGCATCAGCTTCCACAACCCAGTGTAGTCCCAGGAACACAGCCTGCCACAGTAGAAAACAGCGAGGAACTGCCAGAGCCTGACCTTGAGGGGCTTGAAAACACCCATGGAGATGGAGGTGTAGAAGATGAGGATGATTTGGCTCTAGATTTAGACCCTGACAAAGGAGATGATGACTTGGGTAATCTGGACAACCTTGAGACCAATGATCCACATCTGGATGACTTACTTAATAGTGATGAGTTTGACCTCCTGGCTTACACTGACCCTGAGCTGGACCAAGGAGACCCAAAAGATGTCTTCTCCGATCAGTTGCGATTGGTAGAGGCAGAAAGTGAGGCACCTTCATCTTCCTCCGGGTCTGTTGTTGTTAAAGTGGAAGAGAAAGCCACAAAGGAGCCAGGGCAGAAGTCTCTCACAACAGCCTCTGGCACTGTAGGGGGTGTTTCTACCCAACTGCCATCCTCTGTACAAACTGCTGATACCGTCAAGATCAAAGTAGAGGACACAGGTCTGACCCCTCAGCTGCAACCAGGACAGCCTGTGGTAAAAGATGAGTTTGGTGAGGCTGTGTCAATGCTTCTTGGTGGGAACACACCATCAGCCAAGTCTGCTCAGGCAGAAAACCAGCCAGCTTCACTCAGTTCAGTTCGATTAGGGGGACTACAGTATGCCCTGCCAGGTCAAGCTGAAGCATTGCCTTTTCCATCAGCTGCTCCACATGCAGATATGGGTGGTGATCCACTTGGGCTGCCTGATGTAGGTGGACAACACTCCCCTGCTGTAGATTTGGCTAAGGTAGAGAGCTCTTTAGATGGTGAGCTGCCTCTGTTGATACAGGATTTGTTAGAGCATGAAAAGAAGGAACAACAGAAGCAGCAACAGCAGCAACAACTCAGTTCCCTCCACCAAGGAGGCATGGCACCTCATTTTCCTGGTCTTCCAAATCAACAGCCAAACCCACAAGCACCTGGGCAGATAATGCTGCCACAACATCATCGTCCTCCACACCAAGGAATGATGGCTCAGCCAGGAATGGGGCCTCGTCCTTCTCACATGTTGCAGCAGCAGCAGCAGCAAAGGTTCATGGGAAGTGGAATAGCACCTCCTCCTCACATGACAATGGCCCAGCAGCAAGCCATGATGAGGATGGGGCAGCCAGGGATCCATACTGGTCTCCCTCATCAACAGCAGCCACAGCAAGGGGTTAAACAGTCACCTCTGGCCAACAATTTCTTCCCAGATAAAGGTACTCAAGTTGTCACTCTTCTTGGTTAGCTTTATAATAATATTGTCTTTGCACCCTTTTTCAACAGTTTTGTTTTGTTCTTGCAGATTTAGACACATTTGCGACTGATGACAACATGGATCCAATCGCTAAGGCAAAGATGGTGGCACTCAAGGGTATCAAGAGAGTGTTGGCACAGGAGCCAATGGTTGTTCCCCCTGGTATTAACAGGTACTTTTTTGTGTAAACCAATTCTTCTGTGTGGGTCATAGCCCACCTTTGATACTTTGATAAGTAAGGTCACTATATTTTACTTGCCATGATATCATGTTGTCATGTCCATTAATTTATTCCGACTGTGAATGACAGCTCTAGTCATGAAACGTAATGGTAAAGATAACTGAAGGGAAGCCGTGTGAGCAGTTAAAGTTGATAGTGAACAGTAATGTGTAGAATAAATAAAGGTTTTTGTGGTGATATTAAATAACAATAATACTTAAAGGGATACTTCACCTGAAACATGACTCTGTATTGACATTGGGTCATATATGTGGTAGAAATGTGAAATAAATGTAGAAGTTGGTGCCTTCTTGCACGAGAAAAGGCAGAAAGTGTCTTTTTGACTCATGTGGATGAAAGACACCAAATCCCAGAATGCACAGCACCGCAGGCCACTCCCACTAAGGTCCTCTATTTACAGACATATTTACTTCAACACATACGGCTGTTTCCTCAACTGATTCTGAGTTTTCTTCCGGAAGTAATTGGCATCTTGGAAATTCCTAGCAGAAAACAGACTCTATGTCTGTGTCCATTGACAAACAGTGAGAGCACCAACACTACCAGTCCCCACCCCACCTTGAGCCGGCCCCAGCTCCGTGTCCTAACCGCACGCTGACAGGCAGGCTTTATGTCTCGGCTGCCGAGCTGGCAGCGGCCGGGGGCGGCCAGCAATATGATAAAATAGTGACGAGACCTGTTGCTGCTGACAGGCCGGTCTTGTGTTTTGGCTGCCATTATCAGCTTTCTCCATGTTAGCATAGCATAGCTACCAAGCAATATGGCGGACGTTAAGTTTCGTTTCTGGCAGTGAGGACATTTTTGTTAAGTAATTGTCTTTATTCAACCTTGGTGTTGGTTTTAAGATGCATACACAAGGGACCTTTTATTGGCATATAATTCATGTTTTGGTCTCTCTTTAGGCAACAAGTTTCTCTCCTCGCTCAGAGGCTAGCCTCTGCCCCCGGCACAGATCCAGCTCAGCTTGCATCTGGACCACCAAAGGTATGCTGTGTTACCTGTCCGAAACTGATTTTCTTTTTCTAGGTCATTTCATTTTTAAATGTTTTCTTTTTGTCTTAAGGAGGGAGAAACGAGTGATCCCACCCAGTCAAGACCCAACCCTCCCCAGTTTGTGCAAGGAATCATCAGTACGTTCTACAATTAGTGCCTCTTGTTAAGAATGAATTAAGTCATGCATAGATATGTTATCACTGCCCAAATAGTTGTTGATTATTAATTTATTCCCATCTGTTACAAATGATCCATTACATTATCTCATTCTGATACAGATGATGCAGAACAGCACCAATATGAGGAATGGCTTCTTCACACTCAGCAGTTACTCCAAATGCAGTTGAAATTTTTGGAGGAGCAAATTGGAGTTCATCGGAAATCTCGAAAGGCTCTGTGTGCTAAGCAACGCACTGCAAAGAAAGCTGGCAGGGAATTAGCTGAGGCAGATGCAGAAAAACTGAAGTTGGTTACAGAGGAGCAGAGCAAAATTCAGAAACAGCTTGACCAGGTGTGTACAAATCAGGTTTACAAACTTTTCCACAACAAATACTGTTGGTAACTTTGTATCCTAATTCATACCTGTTCATAATTTTGTACTTTAGGTACGCAAGCAGCAGAAGGAGCACACCAATCTTATTGCAGAGTACAGAAGCAAGCAACAGCAGCATCAACAAGGCTCAGGTCTTCTTACCCCAGGTCATTCTGCACAGGGCCAACCACCACACATGTTTCCCAAGATGGCTGGTCAGATGGTGATGGGCCAGCAGGGAACCCCAGTAATGGGCCAGCAGGGAACCCCAGTAATGGCCCAGCACCCTGGCATGATGCCCCAAGCTGGAATGCCTGTCAGAATGCCACAAGGGCAGCCCTTCATGGGTGGAGCTCAGCCACAGCATCCTGCTGTCCTCAGAGCCAGTGGCGTTAGTGGTGTAAGGCCCCAAGGTCCACCTGGTGCTCCAACAGGATTTTTCCCTCAGGGGCCTGGAATGCAAGGTGCAGACCCCAGGCTTCTTCAAGAGAGACAACTTCAACATAGAATGCAGATGGCAAAGCTCCAGCAGCAGCAGGTTATGATGGGCCAGCAAGCGATTCCACATCCAAATCAACAGTCTGGCTTAATTCCTCAGCCACAGTCTGGTATGATGAGGAATCCACTTATGGCCCAACAACAAGCAAACCCTCAGCAGGTTATGCTTGCTAACCAAGCCAATCAACAAAGCATGTTGCAGGTTCCACAAGGAATGGTTGTAGGCCAGTCTGGGGCTCCAATGCCACAGACCCTTCCCGGAGGACAGCCTATTAACCATGCTCAAGGCATGATGCCAGCTCAGCCAGGGATTATTGGGAACCATCCAGTTATACCTCAGCAACAGAGGCCTCAGATGATGATGGGACAGCAGGGCATGGTTGGATCTCCAGGTCATCCAGGCCTCAGAGGTCCTCAGGCCCAATTGACTCCTCAACAACAGAACATTCTGGCCCAACGCATGCTTGCATCGCAGCAGCAGCAGCAGCAGCAGCAAAGTGTTAATAAGAATTTGGCCCACATTCAGCAGCAGCAGATGGTGCAGCAAAGACAACAAACACAGTTGATCGGCCATTCCAGCCAAGACCAAGGAGGGCACTCCCAACCCTCAACCCCACAGATGGGCTCCTCACCTTCAGCAGGTAGTATCACCCCCCAACCACAGGGAGCTACAGAAAACCAAAACTCAGCCTCCAAAGAGGGTGGGATCCTCAGCCCTGATTCAAGAACGCCACCACAGCAGATGGGTCCTTCCACTCCCAATCAGACTTCCCAACAAGGCACTACAAATGATCACCAAACTGAACTGGGAAGACATCAGTTACAACTACAGCAGCAGCAGCAACAACAACAAAACCAGGCTTATATGGCCCAGCAACAACAGACAATTCCTCAGTCTGTACCTGAGCAACAAATGGGTGTTGTTGGAAACCAACAAACTGGTGTGCTTCAGCACCAACAAGTTCCGCTCACTCTCCAAAGGCAAGGTTCACTGGGTATGGACAATTCTGGTTTGATGACTGTTAAAGAGGAAGGAAAGCCAGTTGATTTCTTAGCTCAGCAACAACAAACAGCTCAAAGTGCCATGCAGCAGTCTCAAGATCCTAGCATGCAGCAGCAGATCCTAGGCCAAAGCCACCCTGGACAGCCACAGCCTGTGGTAATGGGGCATAATCCACAACAGCAAGCTCTCATGGCCCAGCAGCAGAAACAGCAGGCCATGATTGGCTTGATGAGAGCCCAGCATCAAGGGATGATTGTACAGAGGACTGGACTCCCACCTGGACAGATCCGCACTCCCATCAACATCCAGGCGATTATTGCTCAAAACCCTCAGCTCCGGAGTCTTCCCCCAAACCAGCAGATACAGCACATTCAGGCCATGATTGCCCAGCGGCAAGGACAGATGCAGCGGATGTCAATGGGTCAAGGCCAGCAAAATCAGTTACAGCCTCACATGCCCCCTGGACAGCTTTTACAGGTTGGGCAGCAGATGCCAGGGATGGAAGGCCAGCAGATACCTTACGGAGCCATGGGGAAGCCAGTAGCAATTGGCCCTCAGCAACAGTCAGGTATAATAGGCCAGCAACCTGGTACTGTTCCTCAGATCCAGCAGGGGATGTTAGTACCAGGGCAACAACAGCCACAATCAGGGGAGATGATGCAACATATGATGAGAGGTCAGGTACCAATACCCACTCCCCAAATGGACCAGGGCCGTATGATAAGGCCAACATCTCCTCGTCAGCCATTGCCAAACTCTCCTGGTGATCCAAAAAGGCATGCATTTAGTCAAGTTATGGGTATGCGTCCACCCACCCCAAACCAGAACCAGCAAGCACTAATGGCTGCTCCAGCTGGACGCATGCAGGGCTCTCCATCCAATGCCTATTCTCCAAGAGGTCCCTTCGGCATGAGCCCAGCCCACCCAGGGTCCCCCCACTCATCCCATGTCTCCTCACCTATAGCTGACAGCAGGGCTGGAAGGGGGAGTCCATACAGCCAAGTCAAGGCATCTCCACTCAGGTCACCTGGAGCGAAGAGTCCTCTTGACTGTCCAGGAATGAAAGTTGAAGCTCACACATCTGCCAATGAAACATCCCAGACAGCCTTAGGTATCCCTAATGGTCCACAAAAAGGCATGAATGCTCAACAACATCCGCAGCAGGTTCCAGACAGCCACATTACTGACGCACAACAAATCTCTAGAGGAGGTGAGGTTTACAAAATGACCCTACAGAACATTAAACAAGAACCAAGAGAGGTTCAGTGTGATGGTGAGGCTGAGGCTCATCCTGGCGCTATAAAGCGAGAAGTAATGGGTGATGCATCGTCATGTGGGAACAATTCAGGCTTTATTAATGCTGGAAACATGGCCGGAGACCCTGGGACTCAAGGCCCTAGGTCTGAGACTGGACAGCAACTTCTGCAGAAACTCCTGAGAACAAAGAACCTTCAGCTTAGTGCTCAGAGGCCCTCTGAGGGCATCCACAATGAGATCAATGGACACATCAACAGCAAACTAGCAATGTTGGAACAAAAACTTCAAGGGACTCCACGAAACATGGAGGTATGTTTTTATTTCATGCATTCATTCTTTTAACCATCATTATATTTTGGTGGGGGAGAACTTCACCTGATTTTTCTCAACCCATACAGGATTTACAGTCTATAACTAAAAGAGCCCCTGCACAAAAGCCAAAGCGCACCAATAAGGCAGCTGGAGACCGAGGGCCCAATGCACGCAAGAAAAATAAAAAGGAAGAAGTTGGAAAAAGTGCAGAAGCCCTGATAAAGCAACTCAAACAGGTACATTGTTTAAGTTAGGTCTCCTTCATTATTTTTAATTTATGTTGTGAATCCTTAAAAAATGTGAATGTTGTGAAATTTTCCTTAAAAAAAATGTTTCTACATGATGTTAGAAAAATGACGTTTACCGCTACTTTCCAGGGTCTGTCTCTGCTACCTCTGATGGAACCCTCAATTACTGCCAGTCTGGATCTATTTGCCCCTTTTGGAAGCAGCCCAGCCAATGGTAAAGCCCAGCTCAAAGGATGCTTTGGAAATGCAGTGCTGGACAACATCCCAGACTACTACTCTCAATTACTTACTAAGGTATACTGAGCCTCAACATGCACCGAGGCTAGCTTTCTCAGGCTTCGCTATAATTGGTTAATGCTACAAAAAGGCTTCAAACCTACTAATGTGATTAATGATTTGTGCCTTCACAGAGTAATCTCAGCAACCCCCCAACACCCCCATCGTCCTTGCCACCTACTCCTCCGCCCTCAGTACAACACAAGCTGCTGAACGGAGTGACTCCTGGGGAGGAACTGTCTGAAGGTCGAAAAGACACAGAGCAAGCAGAAGAACCAATGGGTAGGCCAAGAGGGATTTGTCATGCAATTATTTTTGCATTATGGCTGTCAAACTATTTATTTTTACAATCACAATTAATCGCTGAAATTCAATAGTAAATAATGATTGATAGCATTTTTAATTGCATGTCTAAATGTCCTTTTCTTTACAATTCAAAAACATTTTAAGTCCTATTAACACGTAACTGATCACAACATGCCACAGCCTGAGTCCTTTGACCCAAGTTTTCAATAATGTGGACTTGCAATTAGTAGCGCTCCAAAAAAGGAGCGCCTACTGTGTGCTGTAACAAAAAAAGCATGCCATTTAAAATATATAATATTAATATTATTGTGTAAAATATATACATTTGTGTGTAAATAAATACATACAAAAAAGGGGTGTCAAACGATTTAGCTTTTTAATCGCGATTGATTGCAACATTTCAATAGTTACTCGCGATGCATTTTTAATTGCATGTTTGAAATTCCATTATTTTGGATTAAAAAAAAAATGGTTAGGATTTTATTTGAAATGTTTGTTAAGCTGAGAGGACTTCACTGTATTTTGAAATAAAGAGCCGAGGTTAAGACATTAAATAAACAACGGAAAAAGGAACTACAGACGGATCAAAAACTAAATGAAAACAGCAAAAGGGAACAGTTAAAAAAGTGAAATGTTTGATATCATTTGGTGGCTATTACTTTGACTTGTCAACTGGACTGTCTGAGTTTAAATTATTTATTTTTTGTAAGTGAAATAAGCCGTTCAAAGATGCAGCAGTACTGTTCTTTTCATCACTGCAGGAGGACGCTGCAGTGTTATCCATTGTGTTTCTGAAGGGACAAAATAGCATGCGATTAAGTAGTTAATGCTTAATATATATATATCTATAAATTGATTTACACATTTGTATCATTTTCTCCTCAGATTCAGTTACAGTGGAGGTGAAGAGTGTAGACATTCTCGCAGCTCTCCCCACTCCTCCACATAACCAGAATGAGGACATCAGGTACAATGGGACTACTCTCTTGGGTTCTTTGTAAACCAGAAAATATGGATTTGTTGTTGGTTATCTTCTTTAAAAGTAATATATAACTATTTCAACAGGATGGAGAGTGATGATGAGGATGCCCCAGAAAGTATCATCCCGGCATCCTCCCCTGAGAGCAACATAGGAGATGCAACGCCTCGTTTCCCCCACCTCCGTGAGCCGAAAGAGGAGGAGACAGAGAGAGCAATATCTCCCATCATCCCCCTCATCCCTCGCACTGCCATTCCAGGTATTATACAACATTCAAACCTCTAATTCCCTGAAACAAAAGCTGCAGTGTGCACACACATTTTTGGGAGAAGATCCTGAATGTACTATATTAAGTCTAATTGTTGAAGTTAATTTTACCTTATATTGTTAATTGTTAATGTATTCCAAAAGACTCATTTGCATATTTGCCTTGTAGCATTCCCAGAAAACAAACCATTTGAAGCAGCTGAAAGCAAGGCAGTGTCCACATCCAACCACTGGGACAAGGCCAAAAGCAACGAGGTGTCGGTTACCTTCATGTTGTCCTCTGCTGCTGCCAAGGTTTGACATCAGCATTCTCTTTAAGTCTCCTTTACTTTTCCTTATCTTTCTTCATAGTTAACGCATCCTGAACTGATTTCTTTCTTCCAGAAACTGAACCATGTGATGATGGCCATGGCACAGCTGCTTAATATCAGGATGCCAGGTTCATATGAGGTGACTTTCCCTTCCCAAAACCCTGACATGCCGGGAGTTGATGGGCCTGGGAAAGGATCTGGACAGTCAGGTATGTATTACTAGATTGTTGTTCATTTTGATTGTCCAGATGTCTCATTAGTTTTTGATGTGAATAAAAGTCAAAGTCAACGTGACAATAATTTAACATATTATTATTACATATATTATTAAAGAGATCAAATGTTTTTTTCTTCATTCACTCTCTTCTGATGTACAGATATTGTGGGTGTAGCTCGAGCAGTAGTAGTGTGACTACACTGCTAAAGACAGACCCATTACTATTATTTATAATAAACATCAATGGAAGAATGTTACTGATCCAATAACTGAAACTAATATAAGGTGGTCGTGTTTTCTAGGGTTGTTGTGCACAAAGGACAGCCCGTCACCAAGTCAGGATGAGTGGCTCAGACAGTTTGACGTTTCTCTGCCGGGCTGTACACTGAAGAAACAAGTGGACATCCTGGCACTTATAAAACAGGTCAGTCATAACAGGTCGTTGGAGGATGGATTTTTATTTTTTATTGTTTTGGTGATATTCTTTCTATTACATATATTTCTTTTAAGCTGTAGATCTTATATGTGCATTCTTCCAGGAATTCCCAGATAAAGAGGACAAACCAGCACTGCACTGTTACACGACGAATGTAAGCGACCTGGATGTGCGGCACCTTCCTGCTTTACCAATGGAAGAATCTCCACCCCCATCGCCGTCCCCTCCACAACCTCCACCATCGGTCCCAGTTCCAACTGCTGAAGCTGAACCTTCAACAGCAGTTTCTCCATCCCCTTCTCCCTCCCATCCCACCGTTGTCAAGATCAAGACTGAGCCTGAACAGTATGATGATCTCTCTGCTGAGGCTGCTCCACCAGCTGTTGTCCCAGAGTCTGAGCCTGCTCCTCCAGAGTCAGTCACAGACCCAGGGACTGCCTCTGAAGTTCCAGATCAAACCGCTCCGACGGAAGATCATCAGACTCCTGTTGCAAAAGAAGAGGACATAGCCACTGATCTCGCTCCTCCAGAAGATTCTTCTGACAACCTGGAGTCTTCCCCAAAGGCTGTAAAGCAGCGCAGGCCTCTCTCCCCTGATGAGGAGGTGGTCCATCCCAAGGTGAAAAAATGGAAGGGGATTCGCTGGAAACGTCTTCAGATCGTCATCACAATACGCAAGGGGGGTTCTAAGAAAGAGAGCAGCCGTGAGGTGTCAGAGCTGATGGAACGCCTTCGCATAACTCTTCGACCAGACAAGCTGCCCAGGGATAAACGAAAATGCTGCTTCTGCCACGAGGAGGGTGACGGAGCAACGGATGGGCCTGCCCGACTTCTCAACATCGATGTTGACCTATGGGTGCACCTCAACTGTGCCCTGTGGTCTACAGAAGTGTATGAGACGCAGGGCGGCGCCCTAATCAACGTGGAGGTAGCCTTGCGTCGGGGATTACGGACCCTTTGTGCATACTGCCAGAAGACCGGGGCCACCAACAGCTGCAACAGACTCCGCTGCCCGAATGTCTACCACTTCGCCTGTGCCATCCGAGCACGCTGCATGTTCTTCAAAGACAAGACCATGCTGTGCACCCAGCACAAGCTCAAGGGTCCCAGTGAAGATGAACTCATTGCATTTGCCGTTTTACGCCGCGTCTACATTGAGCGTGATGAGGTGAAGCAGATTGCCAGCATCCTGCAGCGAGGTGACAGGATTCACCTGTTCCGTGTTGGGGGTCTCATATTTCATGCTGTTGGTCAGCTGCTCCCCTCCCAGATGGCTAACTTCCACTCACCCACTGCAATCTTCCCCGTCGGCTATGAGGCCACGCGCATCTACTGGAGCACGCGTCTGCCTAATAAACGCTGTCGCTACCGCTGCCGCATCAGCGAGGATGACGGTCGGCCGCTGTTTGAGGTGCGAGTTCTGGAACAGGGCATGGAGGATCTGCAGTACCGTGACACTACTCCAGAGGGTATGCACTTAACGCTGCTCTGACCTTTGTGTTACGATAGAATCTCAGTGATGTTCCTTTTTCACCAAAATATATCGATTGACCGCTGACTGTTGTGTTTTTTTCCACGTTCTCTTGTATTAAGGAATATGGGAGCGGGTGGTTCAGCAGGTGGCTAAACTGCGAGATGACTCATCCATGTTAAAGCTGTTCACTGAACATTTGAAGGGGGAGGAGATGTATGGCCTCACAGTGCATGCTGTCATGCGCATCACTGAGTCGGTAAGAATTACAATACATTAGTATAAAAGAATCAACCTGGTCTCACTTTTAATGTGGTCATCGTCTTACAATTAAGTGAAGCCACTGTTTCTTTTTTTTAATATTAAACCTTAAAGTCAGTCAAAAGAGTTCTGTTTATAACAAACTGTTTAAATGATCTTACCTAAGACACAGTGGACACTCTGCTCTGCTAAAACATTGCCCCCCTGTAGTAAAGTGCAACAGTCATTTTGATTTCTGTAACTTTGTTCACTTTCAGTTGCCTGGAGTGGAGAACTGTCAGAACTACCAGTTCAGATATGGTCGCCACCCCCTCATGGAGCTCCCTCTTATGATCAATCCCAGTGGCAGCGCTCGCTCTGAGCCAAAGGTCCCCACACAGTGCAAGAGGTAAAGAAGAAATCTTTGAGTAATAAGTCACTGGCAGCTGGACTGTGATTCACATGATTAATACCTGTATCTAGTTCATGTAGCATCAATAACAGTGAACCCATTTTTTAATTCATTAATATTCCAGTAATATAATAATAACATTTGTCGTCCATCAGGTGACGCATAACTTTACATAAATAAAGTGTTTATTTCCTCAAACAGAATAGTCGGAGATTTTCAATTTGTGAACAATAAATAAGCAGTCTCTCAGCCATGTCATTATTTGCTGTGTTGGAGTTGTTGATATTTTTAACAACAAACCATGCTCTAAATAAATTTGAAAATAGCAGGATACACACTCGCATCTTCTTTTCTGTTGGTTCAAGGCCTCACACTCTAAACAGCACCAGTGTGTCAAAGGCCTACCAGAGTACCTTCACTGGAGAGCTCAACACACCATACAGCAAGCAGTTTGTCCACTCCAAGTCGTCCCAGTACCGCCGCCTGAAGACCGAGTGGAAGAACAACGTGTATCTGGCAAGATCACGCATTCAGGGCCTGGGTCTGTACGCTGCCAAGGATCTGGAGAAGCACACCATGGTCATCGAGTACATTGGCACAGTCATCCGTAACGAAGTGGCCAATCGCAGGGAGAAGATCTATGAGTTGCAGGTACGCAAATTACGCAAGTGGATATGATTTCAAGAACACATAATAAGAACTTCTTTGAGACAAAGTTAAGGAATACAGAGCTAGAGGAGTCAGAAAAAAACCCTGGAGAGATGACAAAAAAACTTCTACAGCAAACTTACAACAAATTGAGTTCTGGATAAAGTTTCTTTTTCTTTTTTTTTTTAAATTCAGATGTTTGCATCACCTTTTTTTGTTTTTTTACTTAGAACCGTGGGATCTACATGTTCCGCATCAACAATGAGCAGGTGATCGATGCCACTCTAACAGGTGGCCCGGCACGGTGAGTGTTCATTTGTGATCTGATGTCATATTTTAAACCGTTGTGTTTTTAATATTTTATTAAATTTATCTTTTTTTTTCTCCATTTTTCCAGCTACGTCAACCATTCCTGTGCACCCAACTGCGTTGCAGAGGTCGTAACATTTGACAAGGAAGACAAGATTATCATCATTTCCAGCCGCAGGATCCCCAAGGGAGAGGAGGTACAGAGTATTAAAAAGCTAAAAAAAAAAAAAACACATTGCATCAATATGATTTAACACTTGTTTATTTATGATGTTATTGTCTTTATCTTCTCCCTGACCCTAGCTGACCTATGACTACCAGTTTGATTTCGAGGACGATCAGCACAAAATCCCTTGCCATTGTGGAGCCTGGAATTGCAGAAAGTGGATGAACTAAGCAGAAGAAGGAAGAAGGGAGATTTCCTCTCTTGCAGGTGCCAGAACACTCTTGCGCCAAAGCCTTTGAATCCTACATAGCCAGTGCATAAGCTGATCTGAAAGACAAGGAGGAAGGGAGCGTGGACACCTGTAGCCAAAGGTTTGAAGAGCATTAATCAATAAAAGCAAGCAAGCGTCTCCGTCAACAGCAACTTGATGGTGGCACTAACTTTCATGTTTGGACTAGTGAATCACCCTCTCCTCAAGCAAACCCCCGCCCCCCCCCCCCCCCCCCCCCCAGACTCTTGATAAGCTTACAGCGGCTGGAAAACAACCCTCAACATCTACCAAATGATTCCCCTCTGATATCAATACTCGACGATAAGCCATTTTTAAAATACTAAGAATGAACTAATGATGCATTTTTTTTATGTTTTAAGTCGGACCTATCACCTGTCCCACCTGACCACACCTCCCCCTTGCCTCCCAGAAAAGGCACTTTCCCATCAAGTCATCAATGAAGACAACACGGATATTTGGCTAGCTAGACAATCTCGATGTGGCTCTGTATGAGAACTGCATATGATCGATGGAGAAAAAAGAAGATGTAAGTTAATATAAAAATGGAGATGCTATTGATCTGTGGCTCCAGAGGCACCAGATGTTCTGACTGTTTGGAGTCCCAAGGTGGGTTATTGGACCCAGTCTACCTCATTGATATCGCGGGAAGTGACTGCTTTGTATAAAAAAATGTTAACTGCTACTGTGGAAATGGGGGGGGAGGGGGGGGGTTATGGGCTTCTCGGACAAGCAGGGAAACTTAAGCAGCAGGTTTGCTCTATCTACTCTATGCTGATTTACAATAATGAGCCAACATTATTATTATTATTATTATTCATGAATTGTTTATACAGAGGAATTATATGACAGTTTTGATAAGATATTGCATTAAAATCACAATCAGAAGCTTAGCGGGGGTCCTATAGGCCACCAAATCATCCTGGATATTAATGTAGCTTTTTTTTTTTTTTTTGTTCTCTTTATGTATGTGTCTGGAAACCATGTTGTCAGCTGTGTGGAAGCACAATAACATCCACCTTCTAAGTTGCTTGAACACAATAATAGTGTGAGTGAATGGCGCTAGTATCCCAGGACACTTAGTCTTTGAAGAAGACTCTGAAGTCCACAGTTAACCATGTTCATGTTTCGCTTGTCGCGCCATACATTGAAGTCCCACTTTGTTGAAAACCAGCCGGTGGATGCATGACTACTGTCCCATGAAATGCTTTTTACTCTCCCAACAGGTCTCTTCACAACTCAACCTTAAAACTTTAAATCATGCCTCTTCCTCTCTGTATACTTTAGTGGACTGTTGTTAAATCTTTACTGTAGTAAGTCTTCCTCTGCCTGAGTACAGCCTGCAGTGTTTCTACTTCCCCCTGTAGTGTGCTTTTTTCTAGTGCTGGTACTGTCCTCTCCAGGGCTGAACTGACGGCAGGGAAAGACTTATTGGAAAAAAGGGCATTTGTTTTCATTTCTATGTAATATGAATGAAAAAAAGTCTTTAAAGGGAGCTTTGATTAAAAACTCCACCTTCCCATACTACTTAGTTTCCTCCTTCCCCTAACCTAAGACCTCACATGATTTAAAAATGCAAAGTTGTACAAACTGTATATATAGTATATGCATTGGAGGGGCAGCAACTCTTTATTCAGCCCCTTTGTAATCAAGAAAGTCAAAAGTGTAGAGAAATAAAATTGAAAACAACAACAACAACCACTGGATATCATTTTAACAAAGATAAAGCTGTATATAAATATAAATATATGTAAAATGGCAAACTAATATCTTTATGTATATGAACCAGAGTGTTTTGCATTTACCTGTTTTTTCTATTAGTGTTTTTGCTATAAGATCTCAGAGACAAGTTTGTTAAAGTAGGTTTGAGAAACACGTCTGCTGCTCTCCAATAGAGTGAGACGAGAGGCCGATGTGACGACACAAACAGTTTTGATTCATGCGGAGTGTGGTTGATTATTAGACATGAAAATCACTTCTCGAGTACAGCAGTACAATGGTGCATAGCATTTGTATTTATGTAATATTGTTTGTGTTTAATTTCTTTTCTTATTTATGCTACTGCTTGTTGATTACCAAAACCTGTCCCTTAATCGGTCACAATTGGATTACTATACTCTTGAATGGAAAATCTTGAACTCCCTGGAATATTGTTAGTGTTTTGCTTTTTTATATCTTCCCTATAGAAGTGAATGTGTTGGTAAACCTCGTGAAATGGTTACTTGGCCTAATGTTTGTTATGATGTAAAACTCAGTCGACCCCATACTTAACCTGGTAATGAATTGCACTCTCATAGTATAATGGAGATCTTCTCTAAAGTGGTAGATATTGATCAAGTATCCGAAGCAGTGATATATATAAATATATATATTTTTTGGTATGTTTCTATTTCAAGGGAAGACCATGATGAGACATTATGCCGCTCACTGGATTTTAGCCTGAATAATTTTTAACTTCTCTGAATCTTAATTTAAGTTCTCTGCATATCTTATAATTTAATAAAGTTTGCTCGAAAAATTGACGTTTTTTTAACCTCACCTACTTTTTAAAAAGATGTTGCATCTGTACAGCAGAGATACTTTAGGGAATATGAATAAATATAATGATCATTTTTATTGTATGTGGCATGTTTTGTATGGATATTATTTTGAATTGTACATATTTTTTTCAGGACGCAAGAGGTTGCATCTCTTTATATACAGCTTTCCCACTCCCCTTCCCCTTCATCTTATTTCTTTGTCTGCTTTGTTTCTTGTAAAGGAAAATAAAATGCATTTTAAATATGTGCTCATTCTTATAGACTCTTTTATTTAACAGGACAGACCTTTAGCGTAAAGGTTCATTTCAAACATATAGTTTAAATGAAGCATTCAACCATAGGTTTCAAATGTTTGCCTATGGGGGGCACCCCATTTGCGGAGGCTGTAGCCTAAATAATAAACCTTGAAAAAATATATATTTGCCTACAGTGTTCAGTACATTTGCTGAAGGTCCCATGTAAAAACATTAGATGACTGATATCCTAATCAGCACTTTGAGCAAATGTTTCACTTACTGTTCAAACTGGCCATCGATCATTCTAATGGGTGTCGAGTGACGGGCTCTCATTTGGAATTACTCAAGATACCAAACAAATCTGATACAATGCCTCAAGTGATATCGCATTGGATTTTGGATGGAGTGTGATGAAGGCAGGTTTTTTTTTTTTTAACAAGGTTGTAGAATTCATGAAAAGACTAAATGCAGCATCTACCTTCATTTTGAATCAAAATCGATGTTTATATTAAAACAGGAGTGCAAAAACTCAATCATTTTAATGCTAAATGGCCAGCATGATCAGCAGAATCTAACACAGCCAAACCGTTTAAAACTTTGGGTTATTTCAAGTTCTACAACTGAAGCTGCAGTTTTCAATTGTAGCTTAGATTTTGCTGGTTAAAGGCGGGATATTTTCACCCATTAAGCCTCTTCTGCAGTGTGTAAAGCACAGAGGCGTAATGGTGGGGGCTCCTGATCCTGGCCTAACGGGGGGAATACTCTGAAGTGTAGGGTCGATGCTGGCAGGGTGGAACAGCACTGTGTGTATGTGTGTAGGTCTGAGTCCATGTTGTGCCTCCTTTGATTCCACAAAATCCCAACGTGAAACCACACACACTTGGACACCGACATCATCTCCTGTTGATGCAGTGTGTAAGTACAAAGGCATAATGACAGTAAGTACTGTTGCAGAATAGCAAAGGGTTAATGAAAACACAACTTAACATGTTGAATAAACACCAAGTCGGTTAAGAAAAAGAGGAATTTATTGTTTATTATCTATGTACACTGTCAATGTATTCTGAAAAGATTTGCACAACATGATTTGAAATCTAGAAGTTGAACTAATGAACAGGATGTCTGATGGTCATATACCCATGGCAACAATTCAAACATGGACAGGAGTGTTTGGATTCTGAATTTTGGTTCAACTGACAGCAGCACATTTCTCATCCTCGGCTCTCCTTCTCTGCCCTGCCTGCTGAACATCTACCCATGTTAGAAGTAGCAGCAACATTTTTAGGAAACAGCCAATGACCCGAAACAAAAGAAAGACAACAGGGAGGAAGAGGGAAGTTTTACGTTCATCTACCTCAGTGGAGAGGACCCAGTGTTTGAGACAGCATGCAAAATGGATACTAACATGACATATGAATGCTGGATCATTTATGACATAACTAACATTAACTCAGGTCCATGTGGACATAACAGTGCAGAGCCCAATGGTGACAAATGTCAGTGTAATACTTTCATAGTTTTATCTGCAGACAGTCTCCGAGCTGCAGACCACAAAGTAGAATGAAAACATGCAGTTTCACTTTACAGCATGTCAAGTCTCTGAAGGTAAAATGTCTAAACTACTTTTCACACAACTGCACGTTCCCTGTGAGAACTGCCACAGCTGTCTTTTTCTCTGAACAGCCATCGGCAGCATCAGAATTCAAGGTTACATGTTGCTCTCAAAATATTCCAGTGTCATTGAGAAAGAGATTTCACCCCTTAGGACATTCAGTATGAAGAAACAGATCTGCATTACCGAGCTCTGACAAGAACTCAACGAGCAAACCCCGCAATTAAACAAAGGAAAAAACAGGAGTTGCAGCAAAATTCATTGGGATCAGTAGTACCACCGTATTGCCATGAGAGGAGCTTGTTTAAAAAAAAAAAAACAGAAATCCAGCAGATGGCAGTCTTTTCCTGGTAACTTTAAAACCATGCAAACCCATCAAAACAACAGACTTTTGAAAGTACCGCTCACACTATCACCACTGCTCAGATGTCACACTGGTTCTTGTGGCATAAAAAAGAAAATAACGCATGTTTTATATACAAATCATATATGTACCCATCATCAGTAGTGTCTAATGTCAGAGTCAAAAGAAAACACCCATCATGATGTCTTCACACAAAACACAAAAATAGATTTTAAAGACAATTTTCATTGCCATTTCATACGCCTCTTATTTGCTCAGTGTGCATGAGATCGTTGCCTGTCACCAACAGGGGGCGCCATAGATGCATCCATATTAGCACTCAGTATCTTATTAAAAGGAATGCAACAACCCCCTTTGCTTTTATGCCTGAAAAGATGAAGACACAGACTGAACTACAACATTTACTTTTAAATCAAGGCTCTCGCTTTTTTTTTTTTTTTAACGTCTCGTCTCACAGTGTTCATTAATATGAAATAAAAAAAAACTATCAACAAATAAATAAAAACCATCCCAAACATTTATCCCTGCCACATTTCAAACTAATACCAGAACTGGACCACATCTGCTATGTGAAAACCTGCAGGTCTCACAACTGATGAGGAAGCTACAGTTGAGTGCAACTCGTTTCTTTTTGTAGGAGATTCAAGTGAGGGAGTAACAAACTAAATCTGATCAGCTTCAAACCAAACGTTCAATTCCCCGTTTTGTTTCATGAACCACCGCCTTTTACAACATGCTAGTAGTTCAGACAGATTTAACCCCAGAGGCAGTGCTTCAGCCTCTTCCCCTCTCACTGCATCACTTATATGATGTTGGATGGACAGAAAATTATGTTTTAAAACCTAAAAAACTCACAATCTTCTGGACTTTCCTGGGCGAGCTTGAACATATTTCAGAGGTAAAAGTTCAAATAAAAAATATCCCGTCACTGTACAACGGTAGTTATTCCTGCCATGGGAAATGCAAACGAAAAAGGTTTAGTGTGATGATATTAACAGTGGTAGTGCTGTAATGGTGTGGCCCATGGATAAGGGAAGATCAAAACAGAGGGACGCAGAAGGAGCAAAGAGGGATGTGGGGGGGAGACAAGTCAAGAAAGAAGGGGGGAGGGGGTCTCTCAGTAGTTTTGGCTAAAAAGGTGAGGTAGGCCTCGTCACAACTCGGAGTGTGGCTTTAAAACTGGCAGGGTTTTCATTTGCAGTCGTCTTAATTGTTTGTTTGTTTTCTTTCCTATGGGAGTGTGGTCTGGTTGTGCATCTCCAGCACGTCTTTTTTGTTTTTTTTCTCTCTTCGCTCACATCTTGATATCCTCCTCCACGCTGAGCTGAGACAGGGTCTTCTTGATGCGCAGGGCCGTCAGTCTGGCTGCTCCGTTGGCGTACCAGCACTCCCTCATGATCTTCCCCATGACACGCAAGGACTGCACAGAACAAAGTTATGAACATCAGTCTAGAATCTTCATTGTCCCAAACAACAGCAAAAGAACGGAATTATTTTGAGCAATATTTCACAAGTCCCATTCTCTAATCTTGATCCTTTGATATCTTTAGAAACATTGATATCCCACATTTTAAATCTTGGGTCAATGAGAGTTTTAACTCATTCTTTCCTATAAAGTCAGTTAGACATTTTTAGAAAACAGTGCAGCTCTTGGTGTGTATTTGGAATATGAATTACCTCATAGCTCTGCCACCAGTTGGGCACATTGGGCCTAAGTTTCTGGTCACACACTACCTTCCTCATTTCTTCTATAGAGGGGTCAGAGGGCACCAGGTCATAGTAGGGCAGCTGGTACTCCTCGTGTATACCTGAAGAAAACAACAGAGGCATTGTCAGTTTCTAAACACTGTTTTATAAAATAAAAAAGCATCAACCATCCTAAAAGTGTTTTTACACCAAAACCCCCAAATTCATAACACTATGCGTACGTACACCTGCGAGCAATGTTCCTTTAGATGAATCACGTGGTTCAGACCCATATTCCACCCTCTACACACCCACAGTTAACCATAAAAAGGTCAGTGAAAAGAACTTCATGAAAAAATGCATTAAATGAAGCCAGCAGATCAATAGTTTACAGCGACAACCAAACGACACGACATCTGAAGATATCAATAAAATCTACTGGTGCTATGGTCCAAGGTTGTTTCATGCTTTTTGTTTTACTTTGGATTTCTACATCAAACGATTACATTACATTAAACAGTCTGAGAAAAAGTGAGACACAGTGATTCATTATGTGGTTGACTTTTTTTTCATATGGAAATGGGCTCACAACAGGCGTGTGCATGTGTGAAACTGGCTAGTGATATGTTATAGTGACATGTATCTGTCAACACAGTTTTATATTTAGCTAAATTAATTGTATGAGAGGCTTCAATAAACAATCTTGCTTCAGTTCACCAGCTCACCGTCTGTCTCCCTAATTTCCCCCGGCCTTCAAAATGTGCGTGTCAGAGTCTGATTACGGCTGCACACATTTTACTCTCGCGTTTGTTTTTATACATCACAAATTTTGCATGGGAAGTTACGTACACCATTTAAAAAGACTGATTATCTCTCATCATCGTTTCAGGTCCTACCTCCTGCATTGCAGCGACGTGCGATCTCCCAGTACACCAGGCCCAGTGCGTAAATGTCAGCACATTTGAAGGAGTCAAAGTGTTTCATGTTGATGGTTTCATCCAGGACTTCTGGAGCCATATACCTGCAATGACATAACAAAGATTAATAAGTGCAATAAATAAGACTTTTCAGTACACAAAACATGTTTCAACTGACCTATCGTGTTTAAGTCAAAGAGTCAAATCAAATTTGGAGATAAGACAGGTGATTTGTTGAATTATAATTTTTTATATATCAGCACCAAAAAACACCCACATGGCATGAATATTTTTAAAACTAGTCGTACACTCCAAACATCAGAAGGATCCCTCATGTATGGGTGCATGCTTCTGAGTGATTAAAGATGGAAACCTTTACCTCTTAGTGCCCACGCGCTGGTTCGGTGCTATATCGATTGTGTCTGTGATGGA